TTCTTTTTTGGTTGGGAGGGTTCCCCTACTAAAATAAACTACAGAAAAAAGTTGGTACCCTTATTCTAACCTCTCTACTGGAAGACCTAGACTTGCGGTGCAAAACATGTGGCGCCAAGTGAAAGTCACAAAGTCAAGGCCGCCGAGTCACCAGGCCCCTTTGGTTAAAACGAGCTTTTTTGGTGTTTCGGGCATGCTGCTGGTTCTTCTTTTGTCTTGGGACCCCCTTCTGAAGATTCGGGCAAAACTAGCATGTGTCGAGTTGCTGTTTTGCTTTTTTCATGGGAAACCTAAAGAACGCCATTTGGGAACACACACTCAAATGAGGATGTTTGAGCAAAACTGTTGCAAGCATTTTTGAACAGCCCGAGCAAGGACCTGAAGACAATACAGTGCAACTTGCGGGAACCCCATTTTGGTCTGGGTTGAAAACTGAAACGAACAGCAAGAGACTCATGCCCCAGCTTCCCCATGTTGTTGGTCTGTTTTTGTTGGTTTCCTGGGTTGTCTTCATGTTTTGTGTTTTCGTTTTTCTGTGTGTTGATTTTTGGGGTAGTGGTTGGGGGGTTGGGGGGGGGAAGGGCTTCAAGTCAAAAAACAACAAGAACAAAAACATATATACTTTGCCGACATGCAAAGCCAGGATTCAGAACCCGCGGTTGATCGATCTGATCGCCAAGCTCAGTGGTCAAAGGCAGCTTTTTCCGTGCACATCCGCTGGGGTTTCCTTTGCCTGCCACTTCAAGCTGTTAGCTCGGCTGTCCTCGTTTCAAGATCAGGTTGACGTGTCAGGCCGCTTTGTTTGTGTGGCACCAGCCAGTAAACAACATTTGGCCGTGATTTGCAATGCAGAGACTTTCGACAAGTGATTGATGGACAGCTGAGCATCTGAGGTATGCAGCATCTCTTCACCCTCTTGTCGCAGGGGCACAGCAAGCTGACTCAGTGCGGAGACCCTTGGCAAGCAACGGCTCCTCCATTCGACACTCTACTTATTTCAGACGTCGCCATTGGGGGCCCAAGGGCGTTTCCCCTTGGGTACAGGATGTATGTCTGCCGCACTGATGGCGCGCTCACCGAAAAGCAGTGATATGAGCTCGCAAGGCTCTTGCCACGAAGGGGTGCCAGCATGAATTGCAGCTGAGGATGGATTTTTTGAAGGCCGCCGGTCTTCACATGAGCTTGCCTCCGCAAAAAAAGATATGATATTGCTTTCCTCCCAACTGTGAATTGACATCCTAAACCAGCAAACCGGCAAATTCAGCCAACACCCTGGATTTTTTTGGTATTTGGCTCCAAGTACCTACTTCGAATTTCCTGGTGCGAGACATGGGCTCGGTCGTTTTCCTTTCCTGCCAGGCGATGAGGTCCCTGCTGTGTGTCAAACCCATCCCTCCCAAGCTTTGGCACAGGATCGTTTTCGAAGATGAGACGATAACGTGCAAATGTTCATCAAATTTCAACCAGCTGCACCCTTTCTCCTGCTGAGGGCGAAGCGACAATCAAGGGGAGTTGACTTGACTTGGGCCTTCCCGTTGTCCCTACCGTCGCCCACCAATCAGCATGTAGGGTCTCCCAAAAGGAGGTTCCTCTAAAATGATGGTTGTGTGGGTTCTACGTTCTGCAGGGAGGTTTTGGGGAACCACCTGCTCGCACTTATGACCATACTGATAACCGCACCTAATTACTCGGGGGGTGACATGCTGACCATTGTCCCAAGCTGGGGAGTGGGTCGAGCAGTGCTTTGCAGTTGCCCAACCACCAACAAATGGCATGTGCGGTGCCATAGACACACATACATCTCATAGGGTTCATGTAATGCCTGGGCTCCCTGCAAATTTATGAGCATGGATCATGGAAGCATGGAAGCACTTGCAGGCAAGCATCCAATTGGAGGGTTTGGGCTCCATGGGGCATCGTGAGGACAACCTCACTCAGCTTGAGGAGAGCGTTCACACGCTGGTGGGGGCCTCCCTGCCAGGGGGAGGGGTGCAATGAGGAGACGGTTTGCCGTGTGAAAGACGGAGGCAGTTGTACCCTTGTTTTGTCCTTTTCTCCCCTCCCTCCCCAGAAAGCGTCTGAGACTATTTGTCATAGGATGCCCCCAACCATCCCCATCTCCACGAAAGGTCTTGATTCCTGCCAGGACTTTGGTAGGTCCTGATTTTATGATGCCCCGACAGGAATTCCAGATCTCGATTTTTTGGACGACGTGGTGCCAAAAGGCAAAACCTGGGACCCAACATCCAGGAAGGCTTTGGATGCAAACCAGAGTCAAGGGACCAAAAACGACCTCATCCTATACTCTAAGCATATGGCCCAAAATTATTTGGGGCCCTTACACTGCCATTATTTTCCTCTTTTTCCAGGGCGAAAGAAAGGATCCCGCCGAGGGTTTCGCAAGGCGGGTCCCGATCCCTTTCGGTGGGCGAAGCCAAAAACCAAAAACCCGCAGCGCTCGAGCGCGACAAGGCGGATTTTGCCGCAAAGGGAAAGACCGGAAAGGGAGATGTGTCCCCAGGGTTTTGTAGGGGTTAGAGGGGGTTAGAGGTTGTTTTAGGGGTTAGGTTTTCTTTTAGTTTCATGTGGATCGTTGGCGACTTGTGTGGTTCGGAGCCTTCCGACCACATGATGGCGCTTTCTGGTTCGGAAGGCCAAACGGTCTGGTCTCAGCATCTCTCATCCTGTTGGGGTCAACGGGGGCCTGGATGGCTTTGCGTCTTCCCCTGCCGGCCTTGGCTTGCTCGACGAAGTCGAGTGTGACAAAGGCAATGGCTTTAACCACCTCTGATCACGAAAGCTAGCTTAAGCTAGCTGAAGCTTCTCCTTAATTCAGCAAGCTAAGGGGCCGAAATGGCGAAAGATTGGTTTCATCAATTGCTTGGGCCAGCAAGATTGCAAGAATCACTTGATGTATTTTCAACCCCCGCCCTTTACCCGCACAGGCTCGAATTTTTCCCTTAGCCACCGCCCCGCCCCCGGCAGCCCCCCCATTCCCACCTCCCCCCCACTTCAAGGAGCTCGAATCTCATGCAGCTGCTAGCTTTGGTGCACCCCTTCCTCCATCATAAAGGGGATTCCTTTACAGTAAGAACTCGTCTCTTATCCGGGAGTTAATGGCTAGGTCCCCCAGCTAGGTGCCCTTTGCCCGTTTCTTTTTTGGGGGAGGGGTCCCCTACTAAAGCAGACTACAGAAAAAAGTGGGTACCCCTATTCTAACCTCTCTACTGGAGGACCTGGATGGGGTGACCCTCAGAAGAATTCTCCTGGTTGCTTCCGGTTCTGTCGGCGCCCCGACTCAGCTAAGACAAAGGGGGCAACGCCCCGCTTTGGCCCTGGCGGGTCGGGGGCAAGTACATCTCCACCGAGAAGGGGGTTCGCCCCCCCTTTGATTCCTCAGATTCGCAAACTTATCAAAGAAAATCGGGAGGGGTCGATGTCCATTTCTAGTTCGGGGCGACTTCCATAGCGTCGCTCGGGCTGGCAGTTCCACAGATCTTCTCTCGGTCCTCAGCCGTTCAGATGCCTTCCTGAGGCCACGGCTGTGCAGGAGAAGTTGGCGGCAGGGCCTTTCGGGCCGAAGATGAAGTGGGAAGGGCTGGTAGGGGAAGGGGGGGTAGGGTATGTGCGGCGGAATCGTCATTTTGGGTGGAGGCGAGCTGATTTGCTAGGGGTTCAGGGCTAGGGGCTATATGGGTATGGGTCAAAACTAGACCGCCAGGATATGAAGGTTTGAATGTCCTTGGTTCCATTTGCCAGGGCTCCATTTAGGGGTGTTGACCCACAGCCAGTAAAGAGTACCTGAAGGTGGACCCCATATGAATTTCAACCAATCGGTTTATTAAATTCGGGGGGGGGGGGTTTGGCCCCTCAAACAGTGGTCTGATTTCAACCACTAAACCTGGGGACACCCCCTATTTAGGCTGCAAAGTTTGTGGTTACCATACCGAGCGTGTGTCTTTATTGGAGTGGGTGCCAATGATGGTTGGTTTCCTTCAACCAACCTGGGGGAAGAACATGTGGGTTTTCCAGAAACAGCGGTTGCTTGCTAGTGGAATGAGATGGGGGAACCATGGGAGAATCATGCACTCCCGTCAGCATGGAGTGAACTTCCCTCATTCCCTCTGTCTTCCTTATTTTGAAAACGGTGGATAAAAAGGCAAACAAATCCCAAGCTGCAAGCATGCAACAAACAAATACACAAACACAACAAGTACCCCATATCTAATCGACCCATTCTCAATGTGGGGCGCCAACAGTCAAAAATGTCAAGCTGGACTCCGTTCTATTCTCTCTGCTGAGGGCGGAGAAGTGGGTGGTGGACATGCTGCGCAAGGGCCGTGTGCCCCCAGAAATCTACAACTGCCGCGGCCTCAAACCCGAGCGACTCTGGTTGGATCATCGGATCACGGTAGACATGCCAAATCCAAGGTGAAACATATGCGCCGTTAGGCGCCCGTCAACCGCAAAGGGGATCGTGCGCACTCACACCTCCACACCCGCAGGCCCGCACACGCGCACACGCACGCGCGCATGCACGCGCTTGAGGTTTGAGAGCCTTTTTTAGGGGGCATGGACGGGCTTCGGCGATCGTAAGGGCGGTAGCTTGGCGAGCTGCTGCCTAGGTTTTCCTGCTGTTGGTTTTTTAATTTTTGGGGTCGCAGCAGCGGACTTGAGTTCCGGCATGTGCATTAAGTGCAGTTGGCTTTCATCCGGCCGTGGGAGAATTTGCAGTGCCAATGCCACCCCTCCCGCTCAAGCGGCCCCCTGCACTCCTTCCCTTTAGCATCTTGGTCTCTTCTTCTCTCCGTTTGGGCCATCAAAGCTGGTTACGTGTGGTCTCTTCCACTAGCCCACTAGCCCCTGCATTTGAGCCATCAAGGCTTGTGAGGCCATGGTCAAAGGGAAGACCGCCCTTTTGTGTTTCAACCAGCCCTGGGGTTTGTTTGCCATCAACGCGGGCCACGTCAAAACGCGCAGAGCCACCTGCGGTTTCCACCCCGAGCCACGCCTTACGCACGCGCCAGCCACGGGACGCGCGGGGATCCGTGCCATGGGATGCAACAGATCCGCGCCTGGCGCAAGCCCGCGGAGGAGCCGCACGCGGCCTCCGCGCTGGCGGCCTCGGCACCTCGCCTCGCTCAGCGGGGATGGATGCGGAAGGAAGGGCTCGAGGGAAGACCCTGGGGTTGCCTTGATGTTCGGCTGAGCTAGTGAGTGGTTAGCCGCCCAAATCATTTAAGCCAGCCATGGACACCCTGTAGTGCCCTTTCACCCTTTTTTTTGGGGAGGGTTCCCCTACTATAGTAGACTACAGAGAAAAGGGTACCCTTTTTCCAACTTCTCCACTGGAGGACCTAGCAGCCGGAACAAGGTTACCTCCACTTCGGCCAAGTTAGTAAGCCACCTGGGGTACAACCCACAAATAACAAGGTTAACTCCACTTCGGGGGAGTTATAAGCGTGTTCTGACTTGGGTTCCAAACAGCTTGCTAACTTGGCCGAACATCCAAGTACCTTGAGGTCATCTTGGATTTTGCGGAAAAGTCCCTACGAAAGGAATGGTCCAACCACACACACACACACATATATATATATATATACATACATATATTTCACATTTCTTTTCTCAGTTAGAAGGTGCCTCTCTCCCCCTTTTTGGTGGAAATCCAGGGGAGACCGGCCGTAAGTTTTGGGTCCCGTGTTGCGACCCACATAGGGCCTCTAGGGTTTCTTTTGGATGCACAGGTTCATTGGAGCCCTCCCTGGTAAGAATTCGTTGGTTGGTCCTAACTGTTTTTCTGCGCTGGACACATCTCACCCTTTGGCTTGGACCATGCGAGTGCCTGGTGTGATGCCCTATGGCTGGCGCATCTAAGATTGGGTGGTGCTCCTGGGGCCTTCCATGAAACCTGTGAGGCACCCCGCACCCAGAGGAGCGCGGTTGGCATCATGTGCGGTGGGTCTTTGTCCAACCCAAAGGGGGCGAGAGGCGCCCCAATTCGACCATTGAGTCATGGCAGTGCGGTGGACATATGCCCCTTACTGGATTCGCATTTGCCTTATCGACTTGCGCGATTTATTCTTCTTGATGCTTAGGTCATGCTCATTTTCCGCTTTCTCGCCCTGTTCTCTATCCCGTTTGTATTCTTATTAACCCTGTATTCACTTGGTGGTTCCCAGCCATCTCCTGAGCTTTTCTTAGCCTTTTAGTGTTTCGTGGTGGGATGTCCATTTCACCTGCGAAAAGTTTGTCACTTTTCGCGGGGGATCTGCGGACAGCCCTGTATTCACTTGGTATTTGCCTGGTGTTTTGAGGTTTCACTTCCTCGTCTTTCCTCGTATTTCCTCGTATTTCCTCGTGTTTCCCCGTATTTCCCCGTATTTCTTCGTGTTTCCACGTAGTTCCTTGTATTTCCTCGTATTTTCTTGTATGTCCTCGTGTTTCCTCGTATGTCCTCGTGTTCACTTTGGTATTTTCCTGGGTGTTGCGAGGGTTTCTTATAGCTTCACGGCGCGGGCTAGGACTCGGCCTTGAGTCCTTGAGGCTGCATGGCAGGACAGCCCCAGCTGCCGGGCTGCGATGGGACGGTTCCGGTGGCACACCCCTGGCTGGGAGGGGAAGGGAGGGGGGGGAAGGAGGGAAGGAGGGAAGAGGGGGAAGAGTCTGCTTAAAGTTGACCCCGGATTAGTAAACCCTGGTGGATTTTTGGTTGGGGGGTGTCCCCTTTTAGTGGGGATTCAGACCACTTTTGGAGGGAACACCCCCCTAATAGTGGGGCGGGTTTATTAATCCTGGGTCCGCATTACGCGGCTGGGTTGGGCATACCTTTGACACATCAACCGCGCAGCGAGTTCACCTGGGTTGAAACAGCTCCAGAGCCACTGACGATGTAAACTTTTGTTTGGGAGTGGGTGTAGGTGCGAAGTATAGGTACGATCCACCGGCCCTATGTTGGGAATGTTGGCTCTTCCAACTCTCAACCAGTCTTGCCGGACTCCGGCAGGTGTTGTGGTTGTCAAGGGCTGCGCACTGGCGGGCTGGCGGGGTTGCAGGTGTTCACCTCGAAAACCGGCTGTGCGGTGGTTCGCAAGATTGCCGTGGGACCTGTTGGGGCAAATGCCCGGCGCCCCTTGAAAGGTTCCACTGATTGCGGCCTTGTCTGACCAGTCCACTCGACAAGTGAGCAAAAGGAGGCCACATTCCACCTCCTCCGGTTCTTGAGCCCAACAGGGATCCCTAGATGGATATGGGCCAAAGTTACGCCACCAAAAAACCGCAGGCTTTGCACTTTGCTTCCATTTTCCGTTCCATTTCACTTGGACCCACCGCCTATATGTCCCCTGGCTGCACCATGAAAATCCGCATCCTTCGGGCGGATGACTTCGGGCCAATCTTCGAGAATCCAAGGTGACGGGCAGCTGGAAGAGCACTGGGCCAAGAACTGCCAGCTGCAGTTCTCGCAGCGCCTTGGAACATTTTTATTTTTTTTACACCGTTGGGTTTTCCTCAAGATCCCAAAGCAATCCCCGAGTTTCTAGCTTGGTTTTGGCTTCTCTTGGTTTCTTGTTTTATTTCAGATATCTCCCAAATGGTTTGGCTTGGATTAGTAGGTTGGGATTTACCCCCAAAGGTCCTTGATTGTTAGTGGGAAACCATCAACCTACAAACCACCAATCCACACAAAGTAAAACGAACTGATCATCCCCTTAGTGACATGTATCTTCAGGACTTCTTTTTTTTGGCTGATTATCCCCTTACTGACTTCTTTGATCGATCGTCTCAGGAAGTGAGTCGTTGCATCGTCCACACAAGCCAAATGGAACAACAAAAGGGAGCTTAAGGAATAGTGGGGACTTGTTTGGGTGAGGCGTTTTCTCAAATAGGATATGAACCCACAACCAGAAGGATGGTCTCTTTTTGGTTTGTCTTTCCAATGGGAAGAACTGGGCTGGTTTTTTTGGGAGGGGCAAATGGCACAACTTTCACCATGACCCAGGAGCAAACAAGCAAATGGGATAGTCCTAAGCATCAGTTGACCGGTTGACCTCTTGTGTATTCCCCAAGCAGCTTCAGCGGAATGAGTGTTCGACTGTTTTTGAAGGGACGGATTCGGGTTTGTGGTTTGGCCGCAATGCTGCCCACGTTCTTTTTGCTCTTGTTTCTTGTGGGTTTCGTTGTTGCTTCGTTTTTTGTGTGTGTGTGTGTGCGCGCGTGTGTTTGAATTTCGGCGTGTTTCGATCCTGTATGTGTATATACACGTATGTATATACATAAATACACACCCTTTGTGTTGTTGAATGTGGGTTGCGTTGTTGCCCTGGTCCGCCGATTTTTTGGCCACAAGCGAACATGCTGCAGACTGTGCAGGCACGCACAGTGAGCGCCACTCAAAGTAAACATTTAACACGAGATGAACATTCACATGATTCCAGCACTGACGAAATTGTGTACCACTTTGAAACCATGGTTGAAACCATTGCCGTTGGTATTTACAGGGGAATTGAATCATTCCAGGCCTTCCTAGGTGCGAAATAGATCTCATCCACAGCATTTTCAGCCAGTTACTTGGCTTGCAATCCTCACCTTAGAGTCTGAGAAGCCAGCTTTACCCCCCGCAAAAGACTTGGACTGCTGACAAAGACCTAACCCGGCTACCTAGCCTCTCCATGGCACACCCCATGAAGTTTTCAAGGGCTTGTGGTTGGCAAGAGGGTGTCCTGAAATGCCTAGTGCCCAAACTAGCTTATCCTGGTACACCGTAACTTGACTACTTCGCAGCTAATCAAGTTGCTGGTTCTCAGCAAGGAATGCGGGAATTACAGATATGAGCCATCCCTGGTGTTCTTTGAGGGGGTCCCCTTTCGGTTCGTTCCCAAAAGGTCTGATCCGGAGACAGGAATCATATATCGATTGGGGGCCACGACAAGGGGCGCCATTGCAACCGAACAGTGGCCATAACAGACTAGCGACCATCAGGGACCGACCAGAAACAATCGCTGATCTCTAATGGCCCTCCCTTACTCGACCAAGTCCACTTCCAGTTGAAATGGATGGAAACCCGATTTGGGGGGAAAAGCCCGTTCTTTTCCTTCCTGGGGGTTTTGCCTTCCGCCCAGCTCCACTGCTGCCCTTTGCATGCATAGGTGTCCTTTTTCTTGTTTTGGTCGAAAAGTAGATGGCGATTCCTGATTTACCTGGTGGTTTTTTCTCATCCACCAGGGAAACCCATCTTTTGGTTGTTTTGGTCGTGGTTTACCTGGTGGTTTTTTCTCATCCACCAGGAAAGCCCATCTTTTGGTTGTTTTGGTTGTGGTTTACCTGGTGGGTTTTTCTCATCCACCGGGGAAGCCCATCATTTTCCCCTAAAAGGACACCTCTGTTCGCCTGGCTTCGTTGCCCCGATCTCCGGGACGCGCCGCGAGGAAGCTGCCGGAGACCTTCCGAGACGCCGGCGAGGGCTACACGCTGCTGCTGGACCGGCACCAGGATGGCGCTCTGGGGGAGTTCCTCGAGCCCCTTGGAGCCCGTTTTCGAGTCGGGTTTTTCAATTCGGCCCAGGGGGGGGGGGTTGGATTTAGGTGGAGGTGGATGTAGGTGGAAAAGGGGGGAAAAGGGGGGAAAAGGGGGGGAAAGGGGGGAAAGGGGGGACTTGGGGTCTTCTTGCCCGGCCATTTGTTTGGTGGGTGTTTAGGTTTTGAGCATGCAAAAGCTTCAAAAAGAGTCTGCGTGTGGATGGCACGCGGGGCGCAGTTGACTAGAATCCTCTGGTTGATTACTCTTCTTTTTTTTTGGGGGGGGGGGGGGGGGTGGCATGTAACAATGTAGGCTCACGTTCTGGCGGGAAATGCGCTATTCTTTGAGAGTGGGGCGATTGTGTACGAGTGCGGCACTTTCGGTCATAGGCTCATTACCCTAAAGGAGGTGCTGGCAAAGTTGGCACATGGGGGAACCCTAGAATTGGGTTGTTCCTTTTGGTTGCTGTCAGGTTTTAAGGTCACTGGGCTTCATTACAACTCTGTCTAATAAATTGTTTGTCCAATACTTTATTAGGTTTGGCAATGGCTCTGGCTATGGCTCTGAAGCAGAAAATATGTGTTGAGTCGAATTCTCCTAATTGGGCCCCTCTTGATCCTGTTTTTGTTGTTAACAAATTGGTTGCCATGTATGACCCCGCCCAACAAAATGCTGTCCAGACTCTCGCTTCGGGCTTCGGCTGCCAATGGAAGACAACTGCCAGCCCAAGTTGGCTCAACGCCTGGCTGGCCCAAAGGAATTTGTCTTCCCTGGGCTTCGGCCCCTTAGTGCGGATCCCGAATCCGGGATTCCTTGAGTCTGGCGGCTGAATTCCAGCAGCTACCCACCTAAGAAACCCTGTTTCTGATGATTCCCTGGTAAATACCAACAAACAATGGTTTCCAAATGGTGCAGGATTTCGTCCATCCACAGTAGGTCCAAGCCGCGAAGCAACTGCGCCCAGCATTTCTCATTTTCTAGGTGTCCTTTTGGAAAAGGTGGAAGTGGATTCCCCTCAGGGAGTTCCCGCCCTCAAGGAACACATTTTCGGGAAATCGGTCCAAGAAAATCAAGTTCTTTTTCCGGAACTAGTTCATGGGGTTTCCACTGGGTGGAGTTCATGGCACGGGTTTTCGATTTTTCGTGACAGGAAGGTGCACAAGAAGCTGGCCCGCACCAGCGATGCGGCCACCCGGGTCATGGTGACCGCTCTGCAGGCTGATCGCAGCAGATCGCTTCCGATGGGCGGTGGCTCACCCTTTGGCCCCCGCTTCTGGTTTGGTCTGGAGCCAGGTTCCGCCGTTCTTTTGTTTGCGGGGAAGGGGGCTTGTCGGACTTTCTGGTCTTGAACTTTGTGGGAAGATCACCTTAGCAAACAGCGTCTGGACGTTTCTGACCAATCCACCTGGAGGCAATGTGCCGCGTTGTGGTTTTCTTCAAAAAAAGGGTCCCCTTAACGGGCGCTTCCTAAGCTCATCTTTTGACCCTTCCTTTCAACCTTTTACTTCTGCGACCTTAGGGCAACTTCCATGGCTGGTGTTCCATTCTTTTTTTCCTTTGAGCCCACGAAGCCAACCGCTCCGCTCCGCGCCGCTTCGCTCCGCCGGCAGGTCTCGGAGGTCCTGGGCCGCAGCGGGGCGCGGGGCTTGACGCTGAACCAGCGCTTCGAGCGCCTGCTGGCGGAGCAGATGGATCCGCAGAACCAGGCAGCACGGCGGAGGGCGGCACGAGGGCGGATGAGGTGTGGGGTGGGGTGGTGGGTGGGGCTGGGGGGTAGGGGGGGTTTAGGTGGTGGGTGGGGTGGTGGGTGGGGTAACCAAACAAGGGGACCCGAGTTAGCTAGAACAAAGGTGAAATTGAAGGATTTGAGTGACCGTGATTTTTGGTGGAATGGCTATCAGACTTGAATAAGCACGTATTGTTACCCATTGGGAGACCTAACTTACTCAAGTTCGAACAACTAGCGTTGTATTGTACATGTATTATCGTATGCGTATCCATTACTATTATGTATGTATTTATTCATTACTTGGTTAGCTGCAATAGATGTTCCATTTCAACAAGCAATCCCACGAATAATGTTTGCCAACAGGTTGTGGGATTTCATCAATTATTGTATGTTTGCAATACTTTTACCACCAACGTTTCAACCATAACTGGATTTTTAGTTGAACAAATATGTATGTGCAGATAACAACTGGTGTATGATTGGCGTTTGTTTTGTTAAGAAGGTAAACACGTTTCCAATGAAACATGCTCTATTCATACTAGCGCATAGGAACGAATACAACAACCACAACGATTTAGTATAAAGTAGAATAAGGCTTTCGTCGTTTGATTTCTCAATGTATGGCTGGTTATAGAGAAGGCATGATTGAATTGATGGCCGTAACGTTAAATGTTTGCAAACACAAAATAACATGTGGCATGACCTTGCTAAAATTGGCAACATCGAAACATGATAAAAGGAAAGGACATCAGGTAGCCCTGAGTTGGTGGGCAACCCTGAATTGCTGTGTGGGGGGGAGGGGGGGGAAGAAGGAGATCAGCTGTGGGAGGGGGGGGGGGGTTTGATGGTGGTTTTGACTGGTTGGGGATCTGAATATATTTGAAGAATGTGAACTCCTCATAAGTAGACCCCTGGTTGCTTCATGGCGGGTCTATCCCGCAAGTGGGACTCCGGATCACTTTTGCGGGTGACCCCCCTTGTCCGACACAAGACATTGATGGGACACGGTTTGAGGTTTTGTTTCAGGCTCCAGGTCGGCCACTGCGGGTCTCCGGTTCCTTCCGGTTCCTTCGGAATTTTCTGGGCGAGGTCCTGGTGGGGCAGCTGATGCACGAGACTGATGCCAAGGCTGGGGCCCGTTGGGGTGGTGCTTAATGGGAAGCCAGTTCTTCCGGGGACACATCCAGGGAACCATTGCAACCGTCGTCCTTCAAGGAAGCCTCAGGGTTGCCCCGCTGGGTGGGTACACTTGTCGCACTGCTTGTCTTGCGGGTTCGCTAGGCAAGGCATGGAGAAATCCGTCCGGTGCATCCCCACCACCGCTTGTGTTTTGTGATGAGAACCAGCAAGCTTTGGGCGACACTCCAGAAGCCTCTGTGCCCGTGCGGTGTCCAGCGTGCTGGGACGGTTTTGGGAGGCGGAGGCAATTGACGCATTGTCGTTTAAGTTCTTTACAGTTCTGTGCCCTCTGTTGGATGTTGATCTTGGGCTCTGTAAAGGCCTTGTTTTTGTCTGCCAGAGGGGTGCCATGCATTTTGGTTCCGGGGTTGGGGCTTTTCCAGCCTGTGAAGTACCGAGCACTTTGGCTCTCGTGCGCCTTAGTGATGCTCCTTATGTCTGCAAGTGTGGGGATGGTAAAACTGCAGAAAGGTTGTGTCAGCTTCCACCCAACTGACTGTTTATCGCGTTGATCAATTCTCTGGGTTTTGAGTATGTGTCAAGATAGGGCGACACCACAAATGGCTGTCTTCCCTCAATTTGAATGACTTACATATTTGATTATATGATCATGATGATGATGATTGTTCGTACATAGTGCAGTTCATGAAGCAGATTCCATTGCTGTGGCCTAGCAGTAATGTCCGCCTCTGATTAATAAATAGGGCCCCCCCCTGAATGACCCTAAATAAAGTTAAAGGGAAAAATCCGGTTCGGGAACAGTTTAGAATGTGTTTAGTATTGGGCTCTGTTTTTTTGGTTTTCGAATACTACTTTAGAATTGGGCAAATTCTAAAGTAGTATTGGGCATGTTGTTTTTTCTTAGTTTGCTTTGGGGGGAATACTAGTTTAGAATTTGGCCAATTCTAAAGTAGTATTGGGCCAAGAACTTTTGCATCAGTGGGAATCAGCTTAGCTTTATTTAGGGTCAGGAATTATTTAGTGCATGAGGCTTCCTGGGGGGTTGCCTTGCTGGCAGGGTCAAGTTGTGTTTTTGAGGGTTTCTAGATAAAGAATTTGATGAAGGGAAGGACTCGATATTTTTGGGATCTGATGGAATTGGAATCAAGATGTTTGATCAGCCAGCTTGAATGGAAAGCTTGCCCCTGAAAGAATATATAGGATGAGAGCATTTTTTGGGGGGGATCCCATTTAGCTTTATTTAGGGGTAGTTTGTTATTTGGTTGGGGAACACGTTTAGCTTTATTTAGGGATAGTTTACTAATCGTAGGTGGACATTATCCGTACCTGACCTTGCGAAAATGCTGTGCCTGCCACGCAAACCAATGTTGCGAAACGCAAGCACGCGTCCGCGTCAATGCGCACGGCTCCGAGCCTGCTCCGAACTCGTTCCGAGATCGCTCCGAGCCCGCTCCGATCAGTCTAACTTGCGAGCATCGAAAAGAACCGAAACCCGCAGAGGGTTGCATTTTTCAATCATTTCCGTTTCCCCACCACACATGCACGCAGGTCTTCTCTTGCTTATTCCTCTCTTAGCATCTGTCTCAGAGCGCCAGCTTTCACTGATTCTCACTTAGTCCCCGTAGCACGAAGGCTCCTTCTAATCGATTTTACTCCATTTTTATGATTCTTCCAAGTTCTTCTTGCCATGATATATCTAGATGTGTTTGGTTGCCGATTTTTCCCAACTCCAGTTCCCTCCGAGCCTCGAATTCGACCCGCGTCGCCGTCAGGCCAAAGCGCCCGGCGCAGGCACCTCCCGGGTCCGGGCCGTGCTCTTCAAGGCGCGCGGGGCCGCGTGGGACGCGCGGAGCGGCGCGGGACGCGAGAAGCGGACGGTTTGAGCTGGGGAAAAGCTGCAGGTTTTGTCCAGCGGGCGGTTGAAAGGGGCCGAACTCGGAGCTGTGGGTTGTCCAAGTTCGTTTCCACCAGCGGTTTTGCAAGGACATGGCGGTGCGGGGTTCCAGAAGCGCACCCTCCTCTCCGCCACCCTCCGAAGAATTTGTCCTGTCTTCCAGGGCTCTCCCAGTCAGGTTCCATGTTAGTGGATGGGACCAGAAACCACCGCTGTAAGGGAATCTGCGATAAACTCACTTTAAGCGGTCCGGCTTTTAGGCCTGGAGTGGCGAGCGGGGAGCTTAGATGTCTTGCTCACCGTTGCCTTTGAAGTGCAGTTCTCATCGGGGGATCCCGCTGTGTGAGCGGCCCTCGGCTCTCCGGCCCAGTTGCCCGCATTTCCAATTGCCCAGTGCGAGAGGGTCGTCCAGCAAAATCAACCAACAAACAAAGGCCCAAGGAAACAGGTCGGGGAGGTTTGATCAACGCATTTGCCCTTTTAGTGGCACCACCTGGCTGCCCATTCAAACTGAGCTTCCCTTTGGCGCGGAGATGTTCACAGGGGAAAAACTTGGGGAGCCCTGCTTCACATGTTTGGGCGAGCGTGATTTTTTTTGGTGAGCTCTTTAAAGCGAAATCGCCATGACAGAGGTCCTCTACTTGGGGATCTCATGCTTATTTTATGGTTTCGCACCGGCCACGACCCACGCGGCGTGACTTGGGTGGTCGTTCCTACCCTCAAGGAACATCAAAATTATAGTTGCGTCATGTTTCGCTTTGTCGCCAGTTTTCCAATTTTTGGCGGGTTGCTTTGTTTTCGCCACGATCCAGCAGAACGGATTCGCGCCAGTCGTCCATTCATTGTGGTCATGTGCGCCAGCTTTCTTCCCATTTCAAGTTGCTTTTTCATTTGCACGTGTTGTTTTGTTTCGGCAGTTTGGCCAGGTCTCCTGTTTCTGGGCGTTTTCCGGTTTTTAGGTTGTTCGCCTATGTTCAGCAGATTGTAGCTTTTTGCTCCTTTGTCTCGTCTTTCTCATCTTGGCCTTCTTCTTGGCCTTCTTCTCGTCTCACTCTCTTTAGTTGGTGAGTTCCTTGATTGGTTCCTTCCTTTGTTATAATCCTTATTTCTGCCTTATTCCTTCTTCAGTTGGTTCGCCTTTGAGTTTGGCGCGGTCTTCAATTCTTTCCTTCTTTGGTTTCTTTTGTCCCCCCTTGCTTAAAGTGAGTACCAATCAGTGAGCACATGCTCCCCCCCATTTCGTTGGAAATCCCCAAGTGTGTATCTACGCTGTTAAACCAAATAGATTGCCATGGGAGAACTGTAAATGCATATTTTTGAGCCCTTTAGCAAAATTCACCTCAAACAAAACTAACCTTAGCCAAGTATGTAACTAAGCAACCAACCAACCAAGCAACCAACCAACCAACTCGTTGCTTCCCCCGGCTCGCGAGTTCCTTCGCAGGCGGTCTGCGACTGGCTGCAGGTGGCGCCCTGCTCGCTGCGCAGCTCGCAGAAGGGGAGCTGCGCCTGGATGCTCGCCCGCGGGAAATTGTTTTCCGGCGCCAAGCCGTGGGTGAGGAGCGAAATTTCGGAGTCGGCCTCCTGAAGCAGATGGTTTCCATTTTATTTTGGTTTTGGGGGGGGAGGGCGGGGAGAGGGGTGCAAGGGGGTGCAGGGGGATGAAAGATTGCAGCAACTCCTCGGCTTTTCCAGCGATACGGTCATTGGGGGGCCTGGGTCTGGGGAGGCGTTGAGCGATTCACGCCCTCCAAAGGCTTCGAAGACGGCACCGGGATCAATCTCTATGGCCGGAGTTTCTTTGGCGTTTCAATGGGTTCCCTAAGTAAACTAGCCACGGGCCATGGGCCATGGGCACTGTTGGGCGCGCGCGCGCTGTGTGTGTGTGTGTGTGTGTGTTTCTAATCACCAGAGTCCGCAGTGGTTGCTTCGCCCAGAGGATTCGAAATCCGGTCATGGCCGTCTCGCTCCGAGGAACGCCGTGCAGGTGGACGGAGACTTCGTGGTGGACGTGATGTTCGAGCCCGGGGCCTTGCAGCTTTGGCCAACAAAAATTGGCGGGCCCGGCCAAGCGACCGAGGGCTTGACTCACGCGGGAGAAAGAAAAGCGCCCCGAAATGGCGGTGGCTACAAGGGAACAAGGCTGCAACTGATGGGGTTGCTTGGGTTTCATGTGGAAAATGTAGGGGGTGCAAGGGCCCACGGAAGAAACATCAAGTGGGTGGGGTTCAATCCAAGCGTTCATCGCTTCTTGCTGGACATTTTGGAGATGAGCCAAACGTGCGCTGGCTGAAACTGAAACAGCCAGGTGCCCGAAAGGTTGGATCGATGGGACCCCATCCCAGTTTGGTTGTGGAGTCTGAGTTTGGTTTGGCGAGCTGGGGCTTTTGTTCTTTCTGCTTTTTCCGTTTTTTTTCATTTCGGGAGGGGGGAGGGGCCGGGAGGGGGGTTGGGTGGTTTGTTTGGGAGACTTCAGGGGGATTTGGGCGGGAGGTTTGGTGAGTTTGGGTAGTTACTGGGCTTTGAACCCACCCTTGCACAGGGAAGCCATCCAATGCACCATGGAGTATTTCTACGTTTGCTCGCTCTGGTCGTGCTTCTTGTGTTTTTTGGGCAATGAATGAATGAGAGAGAGAGAGAGAGAGATTCGCTGCTCACATCTCCTGTGTTGCAACCAGGTTTATCCCACCTCTTCAAATAGAGTCCATCCAAACACACCTGGCCCTGGCTGCCGCCATGGAAGTTACACGCAACCTACACAGCGCAACACCTTCGACCCCTTGAGGTCGGAACGGCCCTTTTTGCTTTTTGCTCATCTCCTTCTCCAATTTTCCCTTCGCCGCATTTCTTCATTTGGGGGTCTTTGATTTGAAGGTACCCTGTTTTTTTGTCATCTTGAAGCACCAAAAAGTGGTCACCAGTTCAGCTGCTCAGGTATGAGGAGGGCTCTGCGAAGGCCTCGGAGTATCTCCGGCGCCTCGAGGGCCCGCAGCTCGGCGCGAGCGAACGCGGCGCCGGTGCAAATCGGCGGGACGATGTGGACGATGCGGCGAGGGGGGTGGGGGGGTGGAGGGGATGGGGGGGGATGGGGGCGTTGCAATGCAGCTTCGCCGTTTTGAGGAACATGTGCATGGGCGAATGGGGGTTGAACCCAGTAGAAGTTTGGGGGCGCATGAAAGCCATATTTGATAGTTGATTCGTTTTTCAATGGTGGGAAACCCCGAAGACAATTTCCTATGAAGACACTTGCTTAGCCCCCGGAAAGAATCCAGTCGAGTGCCAGCCCCTGCTTGGCGAATGCGGAGGGGCCCACGTCTCACTAAATGAAAAGCAATCGTGTCATTTGCTGATTCTAGAGCCATGGGGACTGTTATTTCACAATGCGGACACTTTGGGCCCATTCAGGATGATCTTTACAACGATGTTGAGGATGATCTTTACAACGATGTTGAGGATGCCCAAATTGTTGGGACCCTCACTCAGGAGCATGTTGGTGAGAATCCAGTGTGCGACTCGTCCATGAAAGGTTGTCACGGCTGAGGGGTTGGCTTTAGCTTGGCAAGGGACGGTTTGCCACGAGAATGGATGAAACTTTCGGTGCGTGGCCACAAGGGTATCCTGGGAAATGATATGGAAAGTGGTATGGAATCCAGCTTCGGCGTCACAATGATGGTTTGGCCTTCAGAGAAAGAAGCAACGGGGAAGATTATACTTGTTGTGGGAAGCTCTTTTTTTATCGGGGTCCAACTTTGGTAAATTAGGGGCAGTGGCGGGCAGGGGGGGCTTAGAGCCCATGAATGTCAAAGTTGTCAACCGCCAGCCAGAACGACCTTGCTTAGATGGTCTAAGACTTAGTTAAGTTGTTAGCAGCAATCATGGGTATAACTCACCTGGTCCATGGTTGCCAGTCCCGTCTCGGTGGCTTAGGGTCAATAACCATAGGATTGCTCCCGTAAGGCTCAGTTCAACTGAGCCACGAGGCGGCTCCGCTTTGGGGTCCTTGGAGCCATGAACGGATCTTGGGACTCGAACTTTTTGGGTCAGCGCGGATTTTCCCCAGGGGACCCACAAAAGGTGTGTTCAACTTTTTGCCTGACCCAAAACCCCCCTGCTCAGTGAGGAGGACCCCGAACTTTGGCTCTGAGGGGCTTTTGGGTTGACACAGCGCGGATTTTCCCTTTGGACCCACAAAAGGCTCGGATTTTCCCAGGGGAACCCGCAAAAGGTGTGTTCAACTTCTTGCAGAAGGCTCGTTGCAGCAAGATTTGTCAGCCGCTTCCTAGGAAGCCGGCGGACGGGGCACCCTCGCTGCAGCAGAACCTCACTGGGCGCCAGGGCCCCAGGACCTCCTTAAAGGCTTTGCCGCCTGAAGCGGCGCGAGCGTTGGCCAAACATCGGAAGCAAATCGAACATCGTTTGACTACCCCAAGGCGTACTAACACCCCGGTTTGCCTGGGGAAATCCACAGTTCCCTTTTTTTCTCTACCTTTTCTTTTTTTTGGGGGGGGGGAGTTCGCCCTTTTTTGGAGGGTTTCTACCTGGTCCAAAGAAAAAGAGTAGAAGAGCAACAAATGGGCCCCGCGCACGGCCATCGGTTGGTCAATCCAAAAACGCCGCCCCGCGCACGGCTCGAGTCGGTCGAGTCGAGTGGAGGGATGCTGCGGCCGGCCTGGCACGTGGAGCCCTGGGAGATCGACTTCGACCGCCGGGACCGCGCCGGCCGGGGCGGCGCGGGCCCCGAACGCCCGCGAAAGAATGGGGGGATGGCGTTCCCCGGGAACGGGGGGACGGCGGGGTTCGTTGTGGGTGGTTCCCTCGAAAGGAAGACGAATTCATATGTGTTTATGGCTGCTTTTTGAGTTGGTGCCTTTTTTGGGGTGTGTTGGAAAGGAAGGAAGGGACACGACCATGTTGGGGGACCCCTATTTGTGAGCCGACTGGTTGATTTTGAACTGGTCGACTTCGTTTATTCATCCGCCAGGTTCATATCAACAGCATGTCACTCCATATCAAGAGATGACAGGAGGTGCTGACAAAACATGTTGCCCCCCCAGACAAGGCTTTCACTCGCCACCTTTCAGACAGTTTGAATGTCCATTCCTAGGGTCTGGGACAATTCATTTGACGGTGTTTTCTGCACCGCGAAACATGTGAATTGCAAGGCCAAGGGCCTGAGATATTTGTTGGGTTTGGTTGGGGCATAAGCGCATGTTTAATCGTAAAATGTTTGACGCATCACGATGTTGGCTTCCTTTTTTTGCACCGCAGTTTGGTTCTGAGCCAGGGGGGGCTGAAGGCTTAAGCCAGGCTTAAGCCAGGGGTCCCAAAGCAGAAGCCCATCAGCTTCAGCTTGGTGGGACATTTCCGTGCCTTCCATTGGCCCACCTGCCACATCCAACCCCGGATGTGACCCACGAGAGACGCGGGCGAGACGCAAGCGAGGCTTTGGGGAGGTCTTCCAGGGGACCTGGGCCGGGCAGAAGGTGGCCATCAAGGACGGGGGCACGCTGCACGTGCGGGGGTGAGGTGGGTGCCGTTGGTTGCAGAGGGGGGGGGTTCGTTGTGGGCGTTTTGCGGGAAAGCTTTTTTTTTTTTTTTTGGGTGGTTCCCGAATGAAAAAGCAGCAAGGTTCACGCTATAGAAAGGGGAGATAGGCAGGGACACACCCACAGCAACGGTAGACGGTAGTTAACTGCATTCGAGTTCCTGGCTTCCATTAGGTTTCCTGGCTTCCATCAGGTGGCCGGGTTGTGTTAAAACTAAAACTCGCAAGCACAACATGTGTTTGCGAGTTTTGGTGTATATATATATATATATATATGCGTGTGTGTGTGTGTGTGTGGTTTTAGGGGAAATGGTCAGAGTCAGGACAGTTTGGGCATCTGATGTTGCATAGTCACCCCCTTCCCGGCCCTTCCCCAGAAAGGGTTCTCATCGAAGGTTCGGACCGGCGTCCCGTGTCAATGCTTGCGCCCTCTGGGCCGGTTTCAAATAAGTTGCCTCTGGGCGCGGTGGAGTTGGGGAGAAACATCGTATATACATATGCATATGTTGTTTATACGCTGCCTTGCCATCATCAACAGTTGTGGCATAGTTCGTAGCCAAAAAGCTAAACACCTATGTGGGGTCTTATCCAAACATACTTAAACTCCAATTAACTTTGATGAACAACCTGTTTGGAAGGAGTTCCAGCAGAAATTCTCAATCGAAATAGACAATCGAATTCCATTTACGTTGCAATTAAATTCAATTAAAGTCCCATGTCGAAATGCATTTCTACTCAAATTTTAAGTTATCATAGGCATTCATATGCATTTCTTCGTTTCTTCAGCCCTATCACGCTTCCAACTCAATGTTTGCTTGAATATGGTTAACCGGGATTCACATTTAAATCCTAGTTAACATAGACTTAGCAAGTTCTATGGCAGAAAGCACGGGAGCGACCCGAGCTTAAAGATGACATCCAGTTGCTTAAGGATATATATATATATATATACATATGTTTAGATATATATTTCCCTCTGTTTGTTACATCAGGGACCTCGACATATGTTTTTCAGGGGACTTATCTTCAAATTGAAGATGGCCACGCCGCAAAGGTATTAGATTATTTTCGGTATTGTTTGCTTTTTTGGGTTTACCTTTTGCAGAAGCCAATCTACCATTGTACGCTCTTCGGAGCAACTTTGCCAGACTCAACTTACCTTTTTCCCTTTGCCTTGTTTGCCTCCATCATTTCAATATTCAACCAGCAACAATTTGGCCCAAGTTTGAGGGGAACCGCGAGCGGGGGGGAACAGGGGACCTATGACCACTATTCGCCCCTCAACTGGAGCTTCTCAGTCTCAGGCGTCTAGGCTTTTGGGCGGCCCAAGCGTGGCTCAGCCAGAGCTAGGTCCAGTGCCCTTTTACCGTTTCCTTTTTTTGGGGGGAGGGTTCCCCTGCTTAAATAGACTACAGAGAAAAGATCGGGTAGCCTTATTCGAAGCTCTCTACTGGAGGACCTAGAGAAGCACGCCGTTGGATTTTCAGGAGGTCCGGGATGCATCGCCCACGGACGCCGACGTCTGCGACTTCGTGCTGGAGATCTCCCTGCTCTCGCGGCTGTCCCATCCGCCGCCCGACTCGCAAGGGCTTCTGTATGACTGTGGGTCAAAACCGTTTTGGGATCCCATTTCGGGGGAGTGGTGCACTGCCCATTTTAGAACCGATTTTAGTGGTTGGATTGGGATGTTCACTGGGGGTGCCGGGTTTTTGAGCCATGGCTTTCAACCATCGTTCTTTTCAACAACCAGCTGTTTCCCCAGGGTTTTGGGTGGTTTTTTAGAAGGAAGGATGTCTGGAAAGAATGGACATATCCCTGGGAAGGGTTCACCCATGGGTTCCCTTTAAACCCCACCAAGCACAACAAGTTCGGATGCCGAGTCTTTTTTTTCCCAGGGAAATCCACTGGGCATCTGAGATATGGCTGGTCCAAGTCTTGTGGATGGAGCGGTGTTGTGGGCTCCTGAGGTTTGGATGGGCACAAAATGGGGAGCTGAAAGGGCCCCCACACATCTCACAGGATCCGTCATTTAGAGGCACACCCAGAGATGTGGCAATTGCTCTCCACGTTGGCATCAACAAGATATGTTCCTGGCCCAACGTGGTGTTGCTGCAGTCTAAACAGGGGGCGTCTTCCTGGTTCCCTGGTTGGTGTGAGGCAATTTCCGGGTGGGAATCAGGGCTTGAAGGATACCTTTGGGCCAGGTATCAATCATTTCCTTGACCAGCTTTGGACTTGAGCAGGTGTTTTGGAATGTATTTCCCCCAGCAGGTTTGGAATGAGTTCTTCCAGAATGCTGGACTTTTTCCCTTAAAAACCAAACACGGGCCATCCCCAGTTTCAATTTTCGCGCAGCGAGGAACATCGTGCGCTTCTGGCGTGGCTGCGTGGATTTGCGGGGCGGGCACCGCACGCTGCTGCTGGTCACCGAGTGGATGGATCGGGGGGTGCTGTCCCAGCTGCTGCACGAGTCCCAGGAGCAAGGGGATCTTGACCCCGGAGGAAAAACCCTTGTTTAGTGATAGAGGGGTGGGTGTTCCCGAGCAAAAGTGAAGAATCCCCACTGAAACCGGGGGCACTCCCATATTAATAGAGCCGGTGGGCGGATGTTTCTAAAGCGAGAAAAGTGCCTATAGGAAGAGCTTTTTCTTTCTTTCTCCTCTTTCTTTCTCTTTCTCTTTCTCTTTAACTTTCTCTTTCTCTCTCTCTTTCTCTTTCTCTTTCTCTTTCTATTTCTCTCTCTCTCTCTCTTTTTCTATCTCTTTTTCCTTTCTTTTTTTCTCTTTCTTTCTTTCTTTCTTTCTTGCTTTCTTTCTTTATCTCTTCTCTTTTTCTCTTCTTTCTTCTCTTCTTTCTTCTCTTCTCTCTTCTCTTCTTTATTTCTTCATTTCTTTCTGTCTTTCTTTCTGTCTTTCTTTCACTCTTTCTTTCTTGCTGTCTTTCTTTCGTTCTTTCTTTTTTTCTTTCTGTCTTTCTTTTTTTCTGTGTCTCTCTCTCTCTCTCTTTTTCTTTCTTTCGTACTTTCTTTCTATCTATCTATCTGCACTTCCTCTTCCTCTTTGTCTCTATCAGTTTCTTTGTTTTGTGCTTTCTTTCTTGTTCTTCCTTTCTCTTTCTCTGAATTTCTTTCTTTCTTTCTTTCTATCTATTTATCTATCTATCTATCTGCACCTGACCTTGCGAAAGTGCTGCGCCTGCCACGAAATCTGTACTTGGCCTTGCGAAAGCACGGCGCCTGCCACGAAATCTGTACCTGGTGATAGATAGATGGATAGATAGATCAAATGGGAAGAGAGAGAGAGAGAGAGAAAGACAGAGACGAAGGTGTGAATCGCGTGACCTTGCGAAAGTGCCGCGCCTGCCATGAAATCTGCACTTGGCCTTGCGAACGTGCTGCGCCTGCCACGAGACCTTGCACGGGCACAAAATGCTGCGCCTGCCACGAATTCTGCGCCTTAGGCTGCCAAAGTGCTGCGCCTGCCACGCAAAATGAACCTCCGAAAACGTCTGCGCGAGCATTACAGTGGGCAACATTCCGAGCCCGTGGCGAGACCGTGGCGAGACCGCACGCTGAACAGGGGTACCCTTCGCGTGTTTCGCATGTCTGACTCTACTTTTCGTATTAGAAGTTTTCTATTTAAACTTCCTTTGACAAGGGGTGGTTTTATAGTAGTGCCAGGGGGGTGGTCCCCTCCAAAAGTGATGAACCCCCAGTAAACCCAAATGCACCCCCATATTGATATACAGGGCCCCGGATGGGAGCCCTTGCAAAAGCGAGGAGTCAGGGGGTGTTCCCTTGCAAAAGTGAGGAATCAGGGACACCCCCATAAAATATACAGAGGGTTATTTATTGGCCTAGTTTTATGGCTTTACCGGTTCGGAGGTAAAAAAGATCCTTTAATCAGGGATTCCTTATTTTCAGGTTTTGGACATGGTATAAAATTTGCAAATAATGTTGACCCCATATGAATGATGTTGACCCCGGACTTTATAAGCCCCTGTTTATTAATATGGGGGTGTTCCCCACCAACAGTGATGAATCCCCACTAAAACAAGGGACGCTCCCCATATGAATAAACAGCTGTTTATTAATTATCCGGGGTCAACTGTACTGTGGATTCGTCTGCTGATGCCAACAAACAACGGTTTCCCAATCATTTCAAAGTGGTGCAATCCACAGTGTCCTTTTTGATCGCTGAGTTTGGCTAGAAATAGAGGGGCCCCGCTGGTTTTGATGTGTTGTTTCCATTTGCCAAAGCCATCCATTTTTCCCAAAGGCTACCTATGCCAAATGCTTGGTGGCCCGAAAAGGCATTGTTTTCCCGGTCCAACCCCCTTGTCTGGCCATGCCCGTATGGCCATTGGTTGCTGACGGCCAAGGGCTTTGGTGTATGGTTCCTCCAGCACAGCTTGAAGATTCAAGTGTCGAAGCCCCCCCACACTAATTTGATGCACACGAGTTCGACCTCAAAGTCTGGCTCACCCCAGCCTCCTTCGAGGCCTTTCAAGGGGGCACGTCAGAGTCTCATTCGGGGAAACAGGAGGAGGGGGGGTGGAATCCTGGTAGGTTCCGATTCCTTTGACCATGCTGGTAGCTGGGTGAGTTCACAAATTAGCCACGGGCATAGCGGTGCGCCCAGATGTTTCCACAACCTTCAGGACTACCAAAACAGGGTCAGACGGAGAGGAACCAAGCAAACACGAAGAAAGCTTATCACTAGTAAAAAACAATCTGGACTTTACCTAGCACTCTTCAAAGGAAATTCGTGAAACGCCTGCAGAAAACCAAGCCAAAGACAAAGCCAACGGCACAAGAGACCCCCCCTTTCCACCAAAAGAAGCACAAACAGAACACCCAAAGGACGTGCCCCTGGCTCGGAGCCACAGGGGAGTCATAGGGAGATGGCCCAAATGCCCCGGTTGCACCACGCCACGGCTACCTGGCAGGATCTGCGCCACCCCAACTTTCGCCCGGCCAGGCGTCGCTGCTCTAAAAAGGGGTCTATTTCACAGGCACCACGAGGGCGTGGCTGTTTTGCTTCTCCCGCGAGGAGCTCCTGAGCCTGGCGCAGGGGCAAGTGCTCGCTATGGGCATCGCGCGCGGGGCGCCTCGTTTCGAACCCTGGGGTCTGATGGATGGCTGGCGGGACGGTCCCGTGGGGGTCGTCTTTTTTTTCTTTTTTTTGCTTGTTTTGTGTTTTGTTTGTTATGTGTTTGTTTGTTTGTTGGTTTTTGTGTTGTTGTTTTGTTGTTCTTTTTGTTTTGCGTTTTGTTTGTTTGTTTTCTTTGTTTGTTTGTTTGTTGGTTGGTTTTTGTGTGGTTGTTTTTGTTTGTTCTTTTTTGTTTGTTCTTTTTGTTTTGTGTTTTGTTTGTTTTCTTTCTTTCTTTCTTTCTTTGTTTGTTTGTTTGTTTGTTTGTTTGTTTGTTTGTTTGTTGTTTGTTGGTTTTTGTGTGGTTGTTTTTGTTTGTTCTTTTTTGTTTATTTTTTTGTTTGTTTGTGTGTTTGTTTGTTTGTTTGTTTGTTTGTTTGTTTGTTTGTTTGTTTGTTTGTGTGTGTTTGTTTGTGTTTGTTTGTGTGTTTGTTTGATTGTTTGTTTGTTTGTTTTTTTCGCTTGTTTGTGGTTGTTTTTGTTTGTTCTTTTTTGTTTGTTCTGTTTTGTTTGTTCTTTTTGTTTGTTTGTTTGTTTGTTTGTTTGTGAGTGTTTGTGTGTTTGTTTGTTCCTTTTTGTTTGTTCCTTTTTGTTTGTTCTTTTTGTTTGTTTGTTTTTGTGTGTTCGTTTTTTGTTTGTTTGTTTGGGCAATGGTTTTCCCAAGAGGGGTGGTGGAAAGTTGGTCGAAACTCTGTTTTGAAAAGCCCTACTGGATGACCGCCTTATGTGATCGATAAGGCCGGTTAAGAAGTTGAGGGACGATTTAGCCGGGTTGTTAAGCACATAATAATTGGATCTAAGTAGTTCGGTCCTCCAAGTATAGTCTCATGTCTCATGCAACGCTTGGCAGGAAGCCCAGGGAATGTCGAGCCACTCCCATTGCTTCCAGCTGAACCCTGGGGCGGGTACAAAACGACAGGGTTGTTCGGGGGGGCTGAGCCAGTGATTTTGAGGGTGGCCCCGACATCCGCGTGCGTGTGGGGGGGAAGGCCTTGTGCTGGTGGTATGTACCTCCCTCGAAGATAACTTGAAATTCACAAAAGGGGTTTGCTAAAAAGAAAATTCCTCGACTAATGAGGGTTTTGGGCTTCATGTCTAGTTTGGTTTTAGTGTTTTTTGTGTATGCCATGCTAGTATTAACAAAGGATTCGGTAGTGGCCAGTGGGGGGAGAAACTGCCAGTTAGCAAGTGCTTCTTCAAAGCCCGCCGCCAAACGAGGCTCAGTTTAAATTGGCCACCGGCAGGTGGTGTTTAAACTGTTCAAGCCAGTTCCTCGGTAATCAGCCAAGTGAATACTCCATACCACTGCCTTCGAGGAATATGTTTTCGATTTCGATCCGGTGGCTTTTGGATGTGTCCAAGGTGGCCTACTTGCACCACATGAAGGTCCTGCACTTGGACCTCAAGTCTCCGAATGCCGCTGGGCAAATCAAATCGGCCTGGCGCCTCTCATCTGGAGTGTTGACCAGCGCTCAGTAGCCCCATCGGCGCATTGGTAAAGGGAATCCCTGTTTCCTGGGGATATGGGTCTTCGCCAGGAACTGTCCTGATCGATAGCGCAGTCTTCCGTGGTTCAGGCGCGGTCAAAGACCAGATGTATGAGCTCATGCTGATCCTTTGGCATGACCATTCATTGTGGCTTCGTCATGGTTAATGTGAACCTCGGATTAATAAACCCCATGGTTGATTAATTGGGGGAGGTGTCCCCTTGTAGTGGGGATTCATCACTTTGGGAGGGAACACCCCCGTAATATTGGGACGGGTTTAATCCTGGGTCATCAAACCCCACCAGAATTCGGGGTCCAACCCTTTTGGGTATCGAAGATTTTTGAGGAGGCAGACTATTCCCACCCCGGATGACAGGATAAGTGTTTTGAGAGCAGTTGCGCCCCAAGAATCTTAGGAGCAAGGGTCAGCCACAATGCGGGAGCAATATCCTTGGACTTGGATGCAATATCTTTGACATTGGTTGTTTCCTGGGCGGTTGTTCCTTATCGGTAGTGATCTCCCTTGTTGCGGTGTCACATTGTGGAGCGCATTTTGACCCCCGGTTTCGGCGCAGCCGAAAGGATCTCTGAAGTTAACTGTCGTGGGAGCAGCCACCGCCTTCTTCACGTCAAGGCGCCCCCTTCTCGGCGTGTGCTTTTGAGCGGGTTTTCCCTTGTGCGAAGTTTTTCACGCTTCCTGAGTGGGTACTTTGAACTGTTCAAGCCGAGGTTGAAAGTGCTTTCAGGAGGGCGGTTCAGAGGCGTACTGTTTCACTTACCTGCTTCCCGGTGGAGTTATCAATCTTTAAGCCTTTTGTTGCCAGGTGTTTTAATCGCTTTAGCCCAGGGCCAGAAAGTCTAAGTGTTTCTAGCTAGTCAGTTCAGCAGGTCGGCGGTTTTGAATGATGTTGCATTGTTGTGACACGCACTTCATGTGAATTGTGCAGCATGACGCGATCTGTTGTGCATCCCGCAGTGGCTACCATTCGCATTAAGCTTGTTAAGCCCACTCTACGCTGCAAAATGGCGGGCCCGCATTTGCGTACGCTTCCCCGCGCTCGCGGATTCTTGCACGTGCAGAAGCAACCGGTGACATTCGCCGACGGCCAAGCTTGAGAAAATGTACCTTGATGAGGAAGAGATCCCAGAACCCGCAATGGCGGCGAGCCACACAGCGGCCAAGCAGCCAGCTTTCAACCAATCAACAGTTTCACACAAGATTCCTCCAGCCTTTGATGGCACCTGGCCACATGGCCACTGGCAAAGCATAACGCATTTGGCAGCCAACACGCCGCACAGGCGGGCACGCGTTTGCTCAGCAATAGTGCCACCCGGAGCGGCCAAAACAGAGCAGCAGATGTATCCAGCTGGTTCTTTTTTTGGGGCAGTCGAAAAGAATGTTCCAACTGTTGCTTAATCCTAGGGCTTCTCTACCACCAGCTGCGCTGGCTGGTTGCAGGTTTGTTTTTCACAGTCTTGGCAACGTGCCCCTCAACTGGTGGTTTGGGTCCTGGTTGTTTCAGAATTCAGGAAAATATGTTTTCCCACAAGGACACCTACGTGCTAGGTGGTTGGCGCCCAAGGTCTTGCTGAACAGCAGCTGGCAGCCCAAGCTCTGCGACTTCGGCTTGGCCAAGATCCGGGAGCAGACGGCGCTGCAGACAACGTGGCTCGAGTGAGTTTCGGGCGTGGGCAAAAGTTGGCTCAAGCAACGGAACCAGACTCACCCGAACAGAGGAAACAACTCAAAGTAAAAATGCCGCACACTTAACCAAAAGATGTTTGAGCAGAGCACTTCCAACGTGTTTAAACAGGTGGCCCAAGATTTCGGAGGTCGGGTGCACTTCAACCTGCCAAAAGGCCTTGACCCCTTCCAGGGCCTGGTGGGCTCCGCTGAAACTTCCACTTTCGGAGGTGCAGAGAAGTAGGGGCCCCGTTCTGCTCGTGGATTCCCATTGGAGAGACCAAACCTGAAGCTGCATGTTGCCACTTAAAAGGGTTTCCCCGAAATGGTTTCCCTCGAAGCGGGATCGGTGTGTGTGTGTGTGTACGGATGTTTCTGTCTTGCCAACTTCTAATCGAGCGCTGATTTCTGAGTTCTCGTTTGCTCGCCCAAGGCTGAGAGGGGTTTCGCCGATCTGGGCGCCTCCGGAGATGTTCGACGACAAGGGAGGAGGCCTTTGGGTGAATCAGTTTCGGCTTTGTAAGGCAGTTTCAGGGACGTCCCTTAAATCAGGAAGAAGTTTGTCGTGATTCAACACATGTGGCTCCAGTCGACTCTGCTAACTTGGCCTGGTTGATGTACGACAGGGCCTTCCTTTTGCGCACTGTTCTTTGCTGCAACTTCTAAGAACTCTGCAGGAAGTTTGCCAAACATCTTTAAATTGCCATGGGTTTGGCATGTACGTCCCGACGGTTTTTTGTGCCAGGTATGTGTTTTTTACCCTTGTGGCGTTCCTTCCATTTTCCTGTAGCTTGCAACAGGTTGTCACCTTTCCTGGTTTCCGGGCACCTTTGAGCCATGGTTATGGACAATTGGATTGGCCCACTTTCTGTGATACTTAGGGAGTCGCTGTTAAAGTGTTCAGAGCAGGTGAGTCAGATGTTTGGATTCTGGATAGCCCACTTGGTTCTCACAGGAAATGGCATTTCCACAGCCATACTGGACAGGGTTTAACGGGACGTACGGCCACAGCCACAACCATTGAGCCTTCGAGGCGTCACAGAGAAGGCGGACGTGTACTCCTTCGGGATCATTTTGTTTGAGCTGGCGAGCCGCAAGCTGCCATATGCGGACGTGGGCCAGATGCAGCTGCCGCGGGTCAAGGCCAAAGGCGGGAAGAGAAGGCTCATGTTTGGGGCGGCTCAGGGTGGGCTGTGTGTGTTTATGGGTGGGGTGGGTGGGGGGTTTGGCTGGAGGGAAGCTGAGTGGTTTTGGCAGGTGTGACAGCTGATGGGTGCCGAGCATTGATATGGTTGACTAGGCGGAGGGTTTGCATTTAGAGAGTCTGGATCATTTTGGGGGACGCATGGCGTCCATGCGCCCCCTATCAATTCACCACATTATCCGGGGTCGACGATACACTGAAAGGGCGGCCCTTTCTTGCAGACGGTAAGTGATTGAGGTTTACTCGGGCCGCTTTTGAAAGTTTGGAACCATCAGTGCCAGTATCAAAGCACCCTCCTACTTGGTGTTGGCAGGCGGTGTTCTTTGATGACCGCTCACAGCTTTCCGATTAATTTTAGTTGACATGTAAGCCAAGTCTTCAAACCTTCGTGGGATGTGTTGTCTTGGTCAGGCGGTGCCCATGCCTGGTAAATGTAATGTACGTTTGTGGCCTCTAAAGAAACTGGAAGCAATTTGCCATGTTCTTCCCTGTTTGGTTCCATGTGTGTGTGTGTGTGTGTCTTATTTTGTGCTTTGGGCACAAAGAAGCCCCCCCCCCCCACGCACCTGCGAGGCCAGCTGCCAAAGTTCGAGAAGGAGACCGCAGGTTTGAATTCCCATAGCAAGCCATGCAATTCTGGCAGATCCTTGCGAGCTGTTTCCCTTGGTTGGGTCTGACGGATTTTTACCCGCGGTTTGTTGAAGCTCCCTATGGATAAAGTGACGGGGCAAGCAAAACGACACGCGGTTTTTGACTCAGACCACAGACGTCCATTGCAAGGTTAGCCCCCCCAGCTCTCAGAAACTTGGCCGAATGCGCGACAGCTATTTTGATGGTTAGCTGCTATTTGCTTGGACCGTAAGAAACAGCGGCTTGTTTCTTGAACATGAGCGGAACATGGCTTCTGGACCGAGTCAGCAACCAGTGAATCCTCGGCACGGCATTTGCAGTGGGGCATTGCCAAAATCGGCTAAATTACTTATGAAACTTTCGCCTTGTTGATGTTCCTTCAACTTCTCTTAATCAAGCTAACAATTTCTTGCAGGGCCAAGTCTACAGCTAAGAGTTGTCGTGAAAGCTGCTGGGTCCCGATGACCTTCCGGTACCCTTGCCCTGCATCCACTTTCCCAAGTCACCGGAACCCGCGGTGCAATGGGACAGCTCTAACATGGTCAGCCGATGCCAATCCACAGTGCGGGTGCCCTTGCTTTCCTGTGGGTGGGCATAAGAGTCCCAAACCATCTTTTTCACCTTTTGGTTTTATTGCGGGTTGGTCCATTTTTGTCATGGCCCGCCAGGTTGCCCTCCAATTTCCATAGAACCTGACATGAGGGTCCTGGTTTGGACCATGTTCCTTTTCAAGGGGCCTCTGTCAGGTCTGATGTTTGCCGGGAGGGTCACCTTTTCATCTTGCTGGTGCTCAGTGAATAAGTCCGTGAACCCGAGTCCCTTCAAAGGAAATGACAAGGGAGGGTTGAGACTAGGGGTCATTCCATGTCTCCTTCCCGGCCGAGCTCGCACCGATCGCAAGTGATTTCTGCGGATCCTGGCTGAGCAAGTCTAGGTCCCCCAGCTAGGTGCCCTTTCTCACCCACTTGTTTGGTTGGGAGGGTTCCCCTAAAATCGACGACAGGAAAAAGTTGGTACCCTGTTCCCCTACTAAAATAGACAGAACAAAGTTGGTACCAACTTCTTCTCACTTCTCCTTCCATTTGCTTAATTTTTCAATTTTCCCGTCTATCACTACTGGAAAACTTTTTTCCTTCTCCAGGGGACTCTAAACGCAAATGGATGTTTTGAGGTAACTGATTGGTTGCAGCCTGTGATTTCATCCACGCCCAGCTTGCGAACCGGAAGGGGTCATGTTGAAGGAAGAGTCTCTTTTTCCTTTGGACAGGACCTAGGAGCGATCACAGCCGGTCAGGACCTGGACACGGAGCTGGCGGAGCTGCTGCGGCTGTGCCTGGCGCCGCGGCCCCCGGCGCGGCCCGCCATGGGGCTGCCCCCAAGACGCAAGGGTGGGGGGAGGGGGGGAGGTTGGGTGGGGGGAGGGGGGGAATTGGGTGGGGAGGGGGGGAATTGGGTGGGGGGGGGGAATTGGTGGGGGGTTCGGGGGGGGAAGGTTGGGAGGGGAGAATTGGCTGGTTGGAGTGTGCTACAACCCACCTTTCAGGGCCGTTCAAAGATCCTTACCTGGGGGTACGCAAGGATTTTGCCCCTGGTTGTAGTGGCTTCAAGAGGGATGGATTAGGATTGGCCAACCCAGGAAGGTCACCCCTACGGATTTCCTCAAAGACTCAGATGTCATGAAAATCTGGGGGTTAGCGTCAGGGTTGGGCCACCTGGTTCAAAGGACCTCCTCGCAGCTTTCCATTCAAAGGAGAGGGGGGTGGTTTAAACAGGGGATGAACAGACGTTTGGTTCCCTCCAAAGTTCCTCTGCAAAGGATTTCAATTCAAAGTACAAACCAATCCGGCCCAAAGAGGATACCCTCCGAAAAGGAAATAAATACAACATAAATAGCATACACATGCAGTTGGACACAGATGTGTATAATATTAGTAGATATATATATATATATATTGTCTAAGGGCCTCTCCATATTTTTACGGACGGCGCGTGGTTTCGAGAGCTTGTACACTTGAATACCGTTGACTAGCAGGGAACGCCAAAGACCTGCGAAGGGTTCAGAGCTACGGCGCATCTTCAGGGAGTCCAATTCTCATAGTTTGAAGGAAAAAGCTCTAGGGATCCGGTCCTTTCTGTGCTTCCAGGCCCCTGAAGGGTAGAAGAAGCACGCGGGTCAAACCAGGGGGTTTGGGGTTCTTCCATTTGGTGAAATGAATATTTATTTATTTTTTCCCTTGTTGGTTTTAAAGGGAATGGATTTCACTACTGGACATATGTTCTCATTTTTTTCTCTAAACGCAAATGGAGGGGTGGGTTTCAATGGACAAAGGGATGCCGATGCCCATTTTGAGGGCAAGCCATATCCGTCCTGTTCACACCGATGTGAGGCGTGGGTGTTTGTCCCTAGGAAACCCCAGAGCTTCTTGGCCCACAAAAAGGATACCAACCCCAAAGAAGACACTTCCGTCAGAGGCCGAGGCTCTCTCAAACTCCAACCTTTTTCCAACAGTTGCAGTAAAGAAGCCAAATAGAAACATGATCTATTTTGATTGATTGGGCTTTTGTTTCGGTTTGACCCCTGAATGTCCCCCCCCCCACACACTCCCCCCTTTTGGGTTAATATGCATGTACGGCTTCTTTTTGTTGGCGATGGAATCCACACCATGAAGCCAAAGCACAACCCTTTACTCATGTTGGAGGCCCATTCGGAATTCAAAACCCGATTTAGGACCGGATCCCCGTATCCGTGGTTTCACTTGCTTTTTCTGGATGTATCAACGTATCCTGCCGGAACCTTCCTGGCCCATCCCCTCGCATCCCGAGCGAGGAAGCGTGGGGGGTGGGTGCAAGGATGATCTCGAAGCTCCGAGACTTCTGCAAGCAGAGAGGCGTTCGTCGGGGCCAAGAGGGCAGTGCCATGTGAGTGGGAGGACGGCACACCCGGAAGAAAATGCCATTTGAGCCACCCCCAATGTCCGTCCACTGCTGCAACCATCGGCGTCCTACGGGTTAATGGATCCCCAGCGACACAGGGCGTCCAAAATATGGGAGTTTCTCAAAATAGTCGTCCCTTCTGGTATGGTTTTTTAGCGAAACCAAAGGACACCACTGGCCAAAAACGGCCCCTCATTCGAAGAAACGGCCCGAAGCAGAATCTGAGGATATACTGTTTTTTGTGATGGATTTGGGCCAAGTGAGTCATGGGGATAAACAAAAGCAAGGTTTGTTCACACTTGAGTTCTAGCCCTGTCAGCCCTTACCAGGTCAACAGGCTAGACTCTCTTTCCATTTGGAACGACATCAACGCACATATGCCCCCTTGGAAACGCTGGCAGTCCACGAGAATCCCTGGAAGGATAGAATATTTGGGGAAGTGTTGGCGATTGCGCTGCCTCCACCTTTATTTATATTAGGATCCGCTCCCAGTTTCTGCTGTTTGGGCGAACTCGATGTGTGTGACGTGCATAGCTGTTGGATGTGTTTTTTTGCAAGACGAATGGGCAGTCCGGGACCCGTTTGCTCTCTGCGCTTTTGGCAAAAGCGCCATAGACTTCCACAGGCCCCCCTCATGGCTTTTCCAGAAGGCCAAGGAAGTTCGAAGGTGAGATTTTTTTTTTTTAATATTTTTTTTTTCGCAGCTCCTCCCCTCTCTCTCGCCCTAAGAAAAGAGGCCGCCTCACTCATTCCCCGATGCCAGGCATCGACCTGGAGGAAGAGCAGGTCCCTCGGCTCGCGTGTTTGGTGACCGTGAAACCGCTGGAACCGCTGGAGCCTGAAGGAGCCCAGGTTACGGTAGATACGGTGGATGGTTGCGAAAACGAGACACACACACAAACAAGCAAAGAAAGAAAGAAAGAAAGAAAGAAAGAAAGAAAGAAAGAAAGAAAGAAAGAAAGAAAGAAAGAAACAAACAAACAAGAAAACAGAAAGGAGAAGTTCGCATGAACCCTTCGGCTAAAACACATCGATGTCCTCCGTCATTTAGTTTTTTAGGCCCCCCCTTCTGGGAAAAAATCAGGGTGCGATTCTCCCTTTGGCTTTCCTAAAACAACAACAAAAACGACTTAACACAACTGGGGTCCCCGCAAAACAATACTCTTCTGTTTTTTTTCTCCTTTTTTAATTAACATTTTGCTTCCAACAAATCCACAAACAAAGGGGGTTACTCCCCACCCTTCCGGGTGTCGTCGGTCTTTTCTTCTTTTTTTTTTGGTCGAACATCGGGGAGGTTCAGCTTCACCCAAATCGGTGGTTTGGAATGGTCTGGTGCTTAAGGAAGGGTGCCCCATCTACGATCTACAAAAGCGAGAGGTTCAAATCCCCAACCCCCCAATCCACCAATTAGGGTTACCTGATTAAAGGAGCAAACACTGTGGTTTGGCATTCATCCTTTTGCAAGAACCAGGGGTTCAACCCCCCAAACCACAAATCCAAGCCACCAATCAAGGGGTACATGAGTAGAGGAACGAGGATGACCAGGCAACCGTTCTCTGTGAATCATGGGAAAGCAAGTTCAGAAGCTAAAACCTGCGCGCGTCAAGATGAGTGAAAGGGCTTTGTCAGGTTCCGAAGCTAAAACCTGCGCACTATGAGTCTTGGTGGCTCCCAGTCATCCGGTTCCTTAGCCTTTTAGCTTTTTTCTTGGTTGGATTTCCATTTAGCCCACTCAAAGTTCGTCACTTTTAGCGGGGGATCTGAAAACGGACAGCTCAAAGAGAAGAGAAGGGCGTCGAATCGCTCCAAGTCCCGCGTCGAGTCGCGCGAGGTGGCCATGGAGCAGCGGGGCCTGCACTTCGCGGGGCCCTTGGGCTCCACGCCCCACGTGGAGCAGCTGCGCCGGGCTGAGGCGCGCGTTGCCGTTTGGGGGGGGGGAGAAGGGGGCGGCGATGGGGGGCTGTGGGGAGCTGTGGGGGGGGGGGGGGCGGTGGGGGCGGGGGGGGTGGTTGGGTCGGTTGGGGGGGGGGAGGTCAAATCAGATCAAATCAAACAAATCAAGTCAGTGAAATCAAGTCAATCAAGTCAATCAAGCAAATTAATTACTTGGTTGGCAGGGGGGACTCGGAGCTTGCAACCAAACAAATGCCGCCTTAGAGGGAGCTGGGGAGCCACAAGGAGTTCTGTGAGGACATAGATTTGCTGCCACAAATCATGGGCTAATGTTCTTTTGGTTTCCCTTTACAACCGACCAAAAGGGACCAAGAGCCAAACAAGCACCCAACTGGAGACTGGGTGAGTGGGTAACAATAGGCCTTCGCGCTTGGGCCAGTCAAAGGTATCACTTTCGCAGGCCGAGAAACAAGCAACTGGTGCGAAAGGAAAGTTCGACTGATGCCAGACGGGTACCTTATTTTGAGACATACCCCAAGGCCACCATAGCCGCTTTATGAAATCATTGACATTGGGATTTGGATCCTCAGATATGGTTGGTTTCCTTTTTGGTTTCGCAATCTCAAATAAAGGGGGTCCATTTGAGTGTGGACCCTTCAAAATGGGTGGGCTCTACCTCTCTTTCCCTTTAAAGAGCCACAAGGCCATGCATTTTGAGAAGCTCTCAAGTGTGAGAATCCCGCTTTGTCCCTCAAAAAGTCGCCTGCTTCAAGCCACTCGCCGGGCCGTGGTCGCTTTCTCCCAGGGGGAGAAGCGGCGAGCGGAGCAGGAGCTTGCGCGGCTGCGGAGGCGCGGCTGGGTTGTGAGTGTTTCGTGGATAGTGTTGACCCCATATTGATCAACCCCAACTTACTAGGGGGCTGTCGCCCTCCAAAAGTGATGATTCCCCACAAAACCCACACACCACCCAACAACAAATTGGGGTTGATGAACAGCGGTATTTCTGGTGGGTGCTTCCAGGATTGTTCGCTTTTTGAGCGGGGCGGTGCTCGCCATGGTTGGAAGTATCTCACCCAAAAACCAGGTGGAGACTTGAGCCGGGCATTTGGACGGAAGCAGTTGTCGGGGGGGGGGGGGGTCCACGGGGGGGCCGTGGACCCCCCTTGACCGGACAACTGCCACACGCGAGACGGTGTGTCTTCACAGTGATTCACTCCCGTACGTGGGCCAGTTGCAGTGGAAATTCTACATGGGGCTTGTGAACAAGAGTCAATATATCCACTTACATCATTGGGGAGGTTATCCAAGCAAGTGGTCCTTGAAAAGGAACGGTCCTGCATACGGGCGTCTTCTTGCAACATTTAGGGACTCCACATGATTGTGAGAGCTTGCAAGGGATTACTGGGAAGTTCAGCACTTTTCTAAGGAATCTGCGAGTGGGTTATGTGGTGAGACGGAGGTTCTATACTCTGATTATATATAGGGGATTGGGGCATGCAATCACTTACGGCCGCCATGCAATTCCAAACAACCTACCTGCAAATGGCCTTGGCTCTCATTGGGTCCTAAAAAACGATTTCCGTGTAGCTGAATGCAATTGGCCCAGTTCCCCTTCCCTTGGTTTCCTCCAAGTATTTTTTGCTCCGCGACTTTCCTGACAGGCTGTTTGGCACACAGTTTGGAGTTCACCTTCAACCGTACAGCCCGGTTTTCTCCAATTGGCCATGGGTCATAACCTATGCCTCCATTTTTGGGCGGATGAAGAGCCATGTACCACCTATGTTGATGTTCACCAGGGGTGCAGGGTTTTGACCCACAGCCAACTAGCACCCAGACATCCACCTCCCAGATGTCTCCGAACGGGTTACCAGCACCAGGCTGCTGGCAGAGGAGGAGGCGCGCGTGCGGCGGCTCGAGGCTGGCAGCGCTCCGCAAAGTGCCGCGGAGGAGAGACGCGGAGTCGGGGGCTGGTTTGGGGCCATTTTTAGAGGTAAGCTCCTCTGGAAGGCTACTTTTGTTTTGAAGGATCTTTGCACTTCCGGATGTGTTTTTGTCAAGGGTACCCTGTTTCTGGTGGTTTCAAAGGGTACCAAAAGGAAACCAGAAACCACCTACCTAGCTTTTGGGCCCCTTCATTCACGTACTCATGTAGTTCAAGGGGCGCCCATCCAGCAAAGTAACACTCGAGCGATAGGCAGCCCTATACCACAGGCAGAATAGAGCGAACGTCTCGGGGTGACCCATGAATTTCATTCGCTGGTTTCCAAACCCGGCCATTTCTCCCTTGCTTGTTCTAAGAAGGATCTCTATCTTGAGGTCGACGACTCCAATGCAGACCTCTGTGCCTTAAGACCGACTTCTGAAAGGCGCTTGAAAACGATAGTTTTGAGGACAACGATTGGTGAAGTAAAATGAAGGTTTTAAACAGAACAATCCTAGAATGGCGCGACTGGACTCTTGCAGGCCAACTGGCAAACCCTTCAAATGGGGAAGTCAGCAGAAGGACCCAACTGCCCACAATAATCTCTTGTGATCACGACTTCGTTTAGTGTTAGACCTTTCGCGCCTCGCCCCTTCCAGACTACCCTCACCCCCACCCCCCCCCCCACCCCAATTTTAGTGACTCGCTGTGGCTCAAAAAAGTGGTACCAAAATGGCACCTTGGTAAATGGCACCAAAGACTAAAACCCGCGTAACCCCAACTCTTTAATTTTGAGCCATACCCGTATGGCCCAGCACAGGTACACTAAGAGACAGACGCCCCTGACCCCTTTGCCGGCAGGAGCAGCGCTTCGCCGAGTTCTGCGCACAGCGCACGCAGGCGTCGGTCACGTCTCATCGGTGCGACCTCTTGGTTCCCCTGAGAATCGTCAAAGAATTGCGGCCGTCCAAGCAAACTTCCCCCAAACTTCCTTTGTACTTTTTTGGGGCTTCCCATCTTTCGCCTTTGTCTTTTGGGGCTTTTCTGGCAGGTGTCCCATTTCGTCCACTCAATTGTCTACCAGTTTGTTCTTTGTCACACTGGCAAACCTTGCAGGATCTCAGATGTTTGAACTGGTGTCCTCATCGTTGCCAAACATGTTAAACCACTCCATTTTGCCGACGCCTGACTGGGGAGTTCCAGCCTTCCCCTTCCCTCCGACTCGCTGGCGTTGGACTTCGGCGACCAAACGAGGCGGTCGAGGACTCCAAGTTCCGGTGCCTGCTGTGCCGGAAGCTCTTCCGCGGCCCGGAGTTCGCGCCTTTGGTTGGAGAAGAGGGCCGCCTTTTTCTCCAGGTGTTTTTGTCGTGACTTCCGAGGCCAAGGTGATTTGTGCGGAAAGAGTTGAACAGAGTTGGTGGCTTTTTTTTTGAATGGGTCGTTTGCGGGCCTTTTGTGTGTTTACCCCCTACTTGGGCGCAACATATACACACACACATATATTATACATATATGTATATATATATATATATGTATACATATAGAGATATATAGCTTTGTTTCATGTGTCCGGCTTGCCCGGCTCGCAGCCCGTCTCCCGGCCGACCTAAATCGGCAGGGGGGTGGCGGGCGGGGGGGGGAGCTCCATTTTTGCCGTTTTGTTTCATGTCCCCGCCGGCAAAACTGGGCTCAAATTCAATCCGTAAGATAGGGCTGCTTGGATGAACACTCTATTCACTATGTTCTGAATAGCTGTGACCCTGGTTGATAGCCCTCCCGCTGAACCCTGGGTCGTGTGTGAGGACTGGGGGCTTCCGAATGGTGAGTTTCCTGTGGGTTTATTTTGCAGTTTGGGCTGTTCAAAGTGCTTACCCTCCCACCAGCTAACATGGAAGTGTGCAGACCCCTGTAGTACAAAGACTACTTTCCTCTTGGAAAGGCCCTTTTTGCACTTCCAGGTTAGTTGGTGGGAGGGTAGTTTAATAGGGATTCTGGATTCGGATTTCCCAATTCTCCATTTTGAGCGACCCGAAGGGCTTACAACCGAGTTGCTTGAGTTGTTCCGCGAGATCCTGGCACCTGCCACCAAAATCTTCGGGGCTCAATGTCCAGGGTTTGCTCATGATCTTCCCACTAAACTGAGGCCCCCAACCTCGAACACCACAAGTCTAGTCTCAGAGGCCTAGCTCCCAGGGCCCAAGAACCAGCAATCTCGACGTAGGTTGTTTTGGGTTCTTCAAACTCAATGCGCGAGATCCTTATGCAAGCCCGTGATTTCCCTCGCAGTGGCATTCCGCTACGAACTCGGACCGGATAAAGGATCCTCCTTTGGATCGAATAACTTACGGCAACAATATGAACCCGCAACCCTGCAAAGCATGCGCCTGCCGGAAATCTGCAACCAGCGCCTTTAAGCGATGCACCTACCCTCCAAAGTACTGTGCCTGCCACGAAGTCTGAAAACCAGTGCTTCAAAGTGCCCTGGCACGAAATTCCACGCCCGCGCGAGCCTTGAAAGCACTGCGGCTGCCACGAAATTGGCATTCCATTCTTCAAAGTACAGCGCCTGCCACGGAATTCAACGTGCGACCACCCAAAGCACTGCACATGCCGCGCAAGGTGTGTTTCCAGCAAAGCTAAAATAAAAGGCCAGTGTCCTCTCACTGTTCGGGCCCGTCAGGCACGTCGGGCCCGTCGGGCCCGTCAGCCCGTCGGGCACACGAAGCCCGTCAGGCTCGATCTTCTGTCTAATTGTATTCAACTCCCATCTATCTAGCTACCCATCCATCCATCTAGGTATCTCTGCTATCTCCCCGTCAAGCCCGTGATGCCCGACGCCCGTGAAGCCCCTGAAGCTGTTGGGCCTGCCATGATGCTTCTGCAACGCACACACACAAGACGGGACACGAAAAACGCCGTGTTTCTCCAAGGACTTTTGGTAGACCTCAAGCCCAAAGCCAGCCGATTCTACGACGCAAGCAAAAATGACACTGAGGCAATCGCGCTTTTGCGTGCCAAAACGAGAAGCCCTGCATGGCAAAACAACCGTGCAACTGTTCAAAACACTGCGATGCATGTTAAAAACAGCGCTTACTTCGACGCGCTTTTTTTTGTCCGCTTTCCCAATGGCACGGGGAGCACTTGCGGACGCTTCGCGGACGCTTTGCGAACACAATCGCACGAGTGTGGTTCAACTCCTGACCCGCAGGCCTTTGAAACAGGGGGCGGTTTTTTGATGCTGCGCATTTGGGCGAGCAATCACGGGAGCGCTTCTTTTTCCCACATTTGGGAAACAAGCCCAACACACACACACACACCAAGCCCAAAACAACCAACCCAAAGAGATGCATCACTTCGCTTCCAAGGTGCACAAGCACCTCCGGGAGCGGCACTGGGAGGACTTCCTGGGCGTCGAGCCCGGCGCTTTCGGCGGCAGCGGCAGCGGTGGAGGCAGCGCCGTGCGCTTCGAGGAGGAGAAGGACCAGTTCTTCGACGCGGACGTGGCGGAGGCGAGCCGTTTCCGCAGCGCATCGATTCGATGTTTAGTGGTTTTCAGGGTTCTTCAGCTGTTTAAGCCACCAGTAACTAGTTAGCTCACTCCAAGACCATCTCCTTTTTAGTCTAGTTTGATTTTTAAATACATGGGTTCCACTGGTTTAGATGGGGTTTCTTCCATTTACCAGGGGAACCCATCTATTTTTCCGAAAGGCTGCCTATGGGCGCATCGATTCTTTGTGGTTCTCAGGGCTTCAACTGTTCAAGCCACCAGGAACTAGTCAGCTCACCCCTAGAGCATCTAAGTTCGAAGCACAAGACACAGTTAGAGAAGGCATGAAGACTACAACTCGGCCTGAAGCGTTGACAGAGAGAGAGAGAGAGATTCTAAGTGTCCACCATGCCCGCTGGGGGCCCCAACTAATCAAACAGTCTTTTTCTTGTCTAAAGTGATGTGCGGTTTGCTCATGCGGGGGGGATCACACAATCTCAGCATACTTGTCGGTCCCTGATCGCTAGATTTCCCATCCCGCACCATCTTACAATAGCGCCGTACGCTCGTCCCCATGCCCGCAAATGGTGCAGCGCCCAGCCTGCGCATGCTTGCTAACCGGCATATTGAGCTGCGCCGCACATATGATCACCTCTCGCCTCGCCTCACCACATCTCGCCTCACATCACAGCATATCGGAGCACCGCGCAGCGGCGCTTGGCAGGGAAGTTTGCAGTTGTTTTCTAGAAGGGCAACCCTTCACATGAGTCAGGGAAGACACACACAGACACACACATGGATCGACGGAGTTCAACGTACGCGATTTGGCCAAGAAACCGCTAAGTCTAAGAACCCCTTTTTCGCCTGCCGTGATCTGACAGAAGTGGCACGTCGCAGTTTCGTTGGGCCGGGTTGAGGTCAAAGCTGGTGGAGCCACCAGTTCGAAACGACATGTCCCGCCAATCCTCATGGAACCCAAAAATCAAAAGATCCCCAAAGGGATGTTCCTCTAGCTCTGGCGAGCGCTTCAGGTTCAGCAGTACTGCGTCAAGTTCTCAAATTTTGCAGGTGCTGGCAACTTACTGGTTACTACAATGGCCAGTGGTCTCTCTTTTTTTGGTCCTGTGGTTTGCCAAGGGTATGTGAATACTCATCGCAGCGCTTTTGTTGCTCCAACCTTTTTGACACGTATTTGAGTCGTTTTGGTCCATGTGTGTGCCCGTGTTTCTTCCAGCAAGTGCACAGAAGATCCCACACCTTGCGCTTGTGCGCTGCCTTGCTGGTTGTGCATGGCTCGAACTACGCGAGCATCCCAGAGGCAAACAGTGCCACCTCACGTTCTCGACACCTTGTCCGGAAGGCAAGAGCTGTCAGAAACTCACTCCCTGAGTTCCTGCACTTTTTGCCTTTTGGTAAGACCATAAAAGGGGCCATTCAAAAGATCTTGTATATGTCCGCCTTTAGTGAGTTGTTTGTGAGCACACGCGGGACCAAAGGATACCCCAGTCTTGAATTGGTGCAACATCAGGACAAGATTCTGTGATTGCCCTTCTTCCTGCTTGTTGATGTGCCCTCTTGGGGCAGCTGACCACTTAGCCTGCCTGTGCGAGATTTCGCCATGCAAGTGCATGTGTGCTTGCCGAGCGGGAAGGCCTGCTCTGTGTCGCTGCCTTCGCCGGAGTTGAGCATCCTCGAACTGAAGACTGAGGCACAGCGCCAGTTCAAGCGTCGCTTCCTGAGGCTCTTATTCAAAGGACAGCAGCTAGATCCTTTGTCTACATTGAGTGAAATGGGCGTGCGAGACGGAGATCAAATTGATGCCATCGCGCAGCCCACAAGGCTAGCTTCCACAGAAAGAGCTTTTGCGCTGTATGTTCCAGGGGGCCAGGCGCTTACGTGGGGCGAGCCTGACTTTGGCGGTCACAGCAGCCAGGTGCGAGAGCAGTTGGTGGGAGTCCAGCAGGTCTGGGCAACCAGATACTCTTTTGCTGCCCTCCTGAACGACGGCTCTGTGGTGACTTGGGGCGGCGGCTCCAAGTCTGGCGGCGACAGTAGCCATGTGCGCGAGCAGCTGCTGGGGGTCCAGCAGATCCAAGCAAGTGCAGGTGCTTTTGCTGCCATCCTGTCTGACGGCTCAGTAGTGACTTGGGGCGATCCCGGCTGTGGCGGTGACAGCCGCCAGGTGCGAGAGCAGTTGATGCGCGTCGAGCAGATCCAAGCAACTGCATTTGCTTTTGCCGCCACCCTGGCCGACGGCTCGGTAGTGACTTGGGGTGATCCTGACCATGGCGGAGACAGCAGCCAGGTGAAAGAACAGTTAGTGGGGGTCAAGCAGATCCAAGCAACTTCCACAGCTTTTGCTGCCATCCTGGACGACGGCTTTGTGGTGACTTGGGGCCATGCTGTCTTTGGCGGGGACAGCCGCCAGGTGCGAGAGCAGTTAGTGCAAGTGCAGCAAATCCAACCAACAAGAACGTCTTTTACTGCCATCCTGGCCGACAGCTCTGTGGTGACATGGGGCTCTCGCTACGCTGGCGGTGACAGCAGCCAGGTGCAAGAGAAGTTGGTGCGACTTCAGCGGATGCACGCAACCGACCGTGCGTTTGCTGCCATCCTGAACGATGGCTCTGTGTTCACTTGGGGTAGTTCTGAGTCTGGCGGAGACAGCAGCCAGGTAGGAGAGCAGCTGGTGCGCGTTCAGCAGATCCAAGCAACACGGGCTGCTTTTGCCGCCCTCCTGGCCGACGGGTCTGTGGTGACATGGGGCTCTCCTTACGCTGGCGGTGACAGCAGCCAGGTGCGCGAGCAGTTGGTGGGGGTCCAGCAGATCCAAGCAACTTACCGCGCTTTTGCAGCCATCCTGGCTGACGGCTCAGTGGTGACTTGGGGCGATCCCGGCTGTGGCGGTGACAGCAGCCAGGTGCAGACTTGTCTTGACTTGTTGTGAGGTCGAATTGCTCCACCTCGTTGGCCGTGCCTTGAAGCTCTTCTCTGCGTAGCAGCAAATAGCAGCATGGAAGGGCAGACTCCGCGTGTGGAAAGTGTGCAGCTTCTGGACCTTTCTTGACCGATGATTGACCCATCATTTCACGGTATGTCTATAGGATTATTTTAAAAACTTGGTTTCCAAAGTTGTTTGAACGCCTCCTTTTCGGGGTTGACATCATACTGGCATTTTGAGCTCAAAAAGGGTTCACCTTTCATGTTTAGGTCCGTTTGTTTGAGCCCATACCCCGCTGAGCCATGTAGTCTTACGGGCTGCCAGTGAGGAGTAGCTTTCGCGTAGGATGTTCGGCTGCCGGTGTGGAAGCTGGGAACCATGGATGTTGCACAACTTGTTTGTTTTTTCAGGCTCATTTCTCCCTCGTTACAGTTGCTTCGCCGTTCGGAGAAGTTCGAAGGGCCCATTCAGGGATGTTCAATCAAGCGCGGGTGAGCACTTGTTTCGCCCTTCAATGATGTCCGAGGTTTGCCTTCAGAGAAAGCAAGGTTGACAGCGCCGGCATCTTCAACTTGACTTTCAATCCTGAGCAGAGGCTTCCCGAAAGTTTGAAGTTGAACGAGTGGTTTCAAGATGTGATTGGTCCGTGCCGGCCGAGCTCAGGGTCTCAAGATGATTCAACATGTTTGAGCATGGAGCATGGAGCTCTGGCGCGGTTTGGGCATGCTTGGGCAATCTTTCTGGGCTCATCGGCCTGAAGTCGCTGGGACTGGTGTTCCAGCTGGCCGTGTTCCCGGCTCTCATGTGGGAACTCCGCCCCACATGCTCTCCACGACCAGCTCCTAAAACGTTTTCGTTTTTTTGATTTATTAAACCATGCTTGTCACCAATCAACATTAATAAACTTTTTTGGGTTGGACACTTCATGCATACCCTATGATGTCCGACCTTTGCCGCTTTGGAGGCCGGCTCTCGTTGAAAGCAGGGCGCCCATTTGAAGAGACGAATATGTAAAACAGCGGCTCCCCAAGCCCGTTTTGTGAGGGACACCAGGTGGCGGCTATAGACAACTAGGCCATATGGGTGCGGGTCAAAATTACACTACCAGGGGACTGCAAGTTTCAGTCCATGTGTCCATTTGCCAGGGTTGTACCTGTTCTTGACCCACAGCCATATCTTAAGGCCTCCTTGAACGGAAGGTTAGGGTAGCGGCTTGGATCTGACCCGTGTTTTCCTTTCCGCGCGGCGCCTGACAGTTGGATCTGAAAAGTCGGTGTGGGAGGAGACCAGCGCTTCCCAGTACACCCAGAAGCTGGGCTGTGCCGCGACGGGCGTGGAGCCCAAGAATCTCCGAATCGCCTCCCGGATCCGGCCACCCATGTCACGGCGCTGTGGGCGTGACTTCTACAAATGTTCTGGTTATGTGAAATTCGGTCGGGAGTCTTGGGGTTTCCAGTGGTCAATTTCGCCCTACCACCTGAGCCCCTTGTGGAAGCCTAAAAACCAAGCCAGCTTGTAGAGGACCGTTTGTAGCAGAATCCCTTCTCTGGAGCCCAACAAATCACATGTTTCGGAGGAGTGTCCTTTGAGGGTTAACCCGCTTTCTGGGAATTACTCAGTTTTGTTTGGGCCTAACCCTTTGGTGGCCAAATCAAAGCGAGTTCCCCATCGGGGCGGGTGAGGCGGATGGGGGGGGGGGGGGGCATGGTGGGATGGTGGGCAGTTAATGTCTATTTTGCAAGAGTATTGGGATTTTAGGGTTGGACCCTGCAAAATCTCCTCTTCCCGCATGTCGACCCCGAACTAGGCCTTGCGAATTGATAAGTGTTCTTGCCAAGGATTCTTTCTAAAATGGGTTGCGCCCGCCGCCAAATCAAAATGAACCGCCTGTCGCGCACAAGACCGGGCCTGAGCAAAACAGGATGTGAACCACAGACTTCCGTTACTCAGCTGAGGGTTGCTTTGGGGGTTTCCACTGTCCCCCAAGATCAAAATCAACAAGTCGTTCAATTTGGCTAGGTCCCCCAGTGGTGCCCTTTTACCCTTTTTGGGGGAGGGTTCCCCTACTAAAATCGACTACAGAAAAAAAAAAGAGTTGGTACCCTTAGCTGGGGTTTTTTGTTATTTCGGGGTTTCCGTCATTTTGGGTAAAATCCCCCTGCGCTAAACCAACGTTTTCTCACCCCGCGAGGCTTCAGCCAGGCCGTGCAGGACGCTGCCGAGAAGGGCGACCTGGCGTGCCTGCAGCAGGCGCATGCGGTTGGACGGACGCGGTTTCGCGTCCTCAGCTACCACCGAGTTGGTGGTTCGGATGGGTGGTTTGGGATATTTGAGCCTTCCTGGATCACCAGTTGCTGCTTTTTGTCATTCACTTCACCCCAAAAACCGGCAACAGTGACTGAGAAAAGAATAGAAGATCGCAACTTGGCTATCTAGGCCTCGGCTCCTTTCGAAGCCAGTGCTAGCACCTCCAAGCCACCGGGCTCCACGCGAAGGAAGCTGAGGTCCGGGCGAGGTCCGGCGATCGAGTTGGTCGGCCCATGGGCCCATGGATGGGCGGTCCGGGGGTTTAAGACGAGCGTGTAGGCCAAAGGCTTTGGGGATTTCTTGACAATCCCAGGTGTTGGGTATTTATTGTAAACAACAAAGGCAGCTCTTTGTCGGGGTTACACGGTTATAGACTGGTTATGCGCACCATGTGTCCCCTTGGGTTCCTGGTTTCGGAGGTTGAGTTTAGCATTTTTGTTTGGCCACTCGTGGCGTGTGGTACCTTTCCCTGAGGCTCGTTCCCAGGCCTTTTTTGCAGGTAACCAGTTGGAGCTTCCTGCTTTAGTGTTCATATGGCGGCTTCCGAGATTTCTACTATAGACTGTAGTGGAAACTGGTAGTGATGGTGGTTTTGTTTTCATTGATTGCGGGTGGATTCCCCTTAAAGTCAATTAGCTTCCTATGACTGGGAAGTTGGACAAATGCATAAAAATGCATCCCCACACAAAGGTGGTTGCAGTTTTCTCCTGGAAGCTTGTCTAGCCAAAGTAGCGGAGCCTTTTCAACAACTGGATCGGACAAAGTTGGCAGGGCCGGGATCAAATGAAGGGGACATCCGGGAAGCCAAAGGCTAGGGCTTTGAAGCAACGAGGTGATGCAGCAGGGCGCAGCCGCTTTGAACCAACACGATGTGGACGGCACCTGCCCATTGCACCTGGCCGCTAAGCCCCTTGGCACGACTCCTGGGGGAGGCTGAGGGGCGCGGTGCTTGGGGAGTTGCTGGTTGCTAACCCCTGCCTTTGTTCCCTCACTCCGGAAAACCTACAACCATAGTAAGTGGGTTATGACTGACTACCCCTGGTGAACATCAAAAATGGTGGTACATGGCTCTTCATCCGCCCCAAAATGGAAGCATAGGTTATGACCCATGGTTTGGAGAAAACCAGGCCGTACGGTTGAGGGTGATTGTCAGGGGCATAAACAACATAGCAAGTACCAAAAGTGCTTTCCGTGAGAGTCGTCCAAGCAACTGCCCGGTTGGAGAACTCCTTTCGAGTTCCATAGGAAGCCATAGGGGCCTTTGGGGAAACCGAAGGCTTGTGACCCCAAGAAAGACCATTCACACCCCATTTTGTTCATGGAAGGGAAGGAGTGCTGGGTTGGGTTTTGGGGTTTTGACCCTTTCACTGTTTGGGAGTGATTGTTTTCCCACTGATTTGCAAGCTAAGCTTCTTGTCTTTTTTTCCCTTTGAGGGGGAAAAGCAATAGCCACCAAGACAAGGTTCGAAACTTAGAGGTGCACAGTCTGAGCACCCAAATTGCTTCAGTTTGGGACATTTTGGGACATTTCGTTTCGACTCTCCTTTAAGACCATTGACCAGAGGGTCGGAGAACCCCCCCCCATCTTGATTTCGAGTCAGGCTCATTTTTCAGCAAAGAGTTTCTACCCCACAAAATCCAAGTACCTCATGAGGATGGCTTTTGTGGGGGTAAAAAGGGGGTCTAAGTACCTCCTTAGAAGGTACTTGGACCCTCTGGGTACTCAACACACGGCTTCCAATGACAACTTTGGGCAAGCGGCCGGCTCCCCACTCGCAACCACTCGCAACCGCCTCCTCGCTCGCAACCGCCCGCAACCGCAACCGCGAGGCAGGGCCACGCGGAGTGCGTGCAGCTGCTGCTGCAGGCGGCGGCCGCACCCTCGGAGGCGGACGACAACGGGCACCAGGCGCTGCACCTCGCGGCGCAGGAAGGGCACCAGGAGGCGAGGCGAGGAGCGACGTCGAAGTCCTTTTGCCGCATCGCCGGACCGAACACTCGCCGGTTTCTTGTGCCATTTTGTTTGTTTTGTTTTGTTTTTCTCTCCGTTTTTTGTGGAACAAGGTGAACATGTTTGGTTTTTTTCTCCATGAACTCACCGTTTTTTTTGCAACAAGGGGAACATTGTTTTGGTCAGAAAACCTGGCGCAGAATCCAAGCACTGGTCTGAAACCAAGGGATTAGGTCCTAATGATTAGGTGGTACGTACTGACGGGAAATTGAACCTTTTACCAAGTCAGGAGTTTGGCATTGTGCGTTGGGCGCAAGTAGCACAGCATGTTCAAGTTGAAGAACATACGCGGAGATGGAGAATACGTTGCTCTAATTGGCAAAGCACATCAATGTTGGGGTGGGCGGGGGGTTGAAACCTGACCCAGGGTGTGTTGGCCCGAGCTCCGAAAAGAACCCCAAGAAGTGTTCGTCATCGGCTTCCATTGCTCTGACCCCCAAGAAATATGCAAAGAAGTCGGGTCTTTGGAGCCACCCTGCGGCTTGGGAAACACATCCAATTTGCGCTGCGTTGCCGGTTTGCAAGGCGAAGTTGTGTAAAGCCTGCAGGCTTTGGCTTATGTTTTGCTTTTTGGGTTCCTTTGCCCTTCGAACCAGCAAAGGTTAACTTGTTGCACCGGGCGTATGTCAAGTAGAGCTTCCCAAGTAAGACTCGACGCAGCGCTTGTTTATCACATTGGCTGTGAAGGCCGCTCGCCCAACAGCTGCCATGGCAACGTGGGAGGGACTAGCAGCATATTTTCGGGCAATGTAGAACCTCGATCCGAAGCAACGATTTGAATAGCATCTATTTGGGGGTAGTGACTAGGGACAAAGAACCAGGGGCTATTGACCACGGGTCGAACCCATGGCTGCCGAAAAACCAAAGTTTGGGCAGCCAAGCAACGGCCAATGGCAGGTGGTGGAGTTGCTCCTGCAAGCCGGCGCCGCATGCGCCTCCGGCAAAAAAATCGGAAAACAAAACAAAACAAAAAGCAAGCAAACAAACAAACAAACAAGCAAACAGAAAGCGGGGGCGTGCGTTGTTATTTGTTTTTTGCTGGGGTGTTTGGGCTTCGGGAGGGTGCGAGAAAACAGCCAAAGAGAAGAGGTTGCAAAATGGACCCGGATGTCCACACGGTCACGCACAATCTTCCTGAGGGTACCCGCTGTGGCCGGTCAGGAAAACACCAGAGGGCAGGCGACGATTTTGAGGACCCCCCCCCCCCCTGAACACAAAGGCGATGGCGCAGGTTGGCTGGAGGCCGATCACGTCAATAAAGAGGCTGGATCTAAGGATACGGTTGAAAGTTTTGCTAAAATGACGATGACCTTTACGGACATGATTCTGACCAAAGGTAGGGAAGAGCGTTTGTTACCCCAGAAAGTCGAAAGCGGCTGGGTTTGAAGAGAACGATGAGCTGATCTTGTGAATCCAATGGAGTTTTGAATCCGCATCTTTGGGGCCCAGTAAAGGCCGCGGCGAATGATTGTGGCAGCTTCCAGCCATGAACCCAGGCATTTCTCGTTCAGACCGCCACATCAGGGTAAAGAGCCGGCGCGTTAAAGAAATAACTAAGCCCAAATGGAGTGGTGCTAGCAACTTTCATCCAAGTGTAAGTGGAGCAGCCAGGGTTTCCTCTAAATATTTCCCTCTTGGTGGTTTTTGAACATCACCCTGTGGGCAAATGTGAGCCGGGTATGTTTAAAGGGGTGGTTGCCACAGCCTCTGCTTTTCCGAGGGTCCAAGCAAAGCCTCTAAGAAGCCGGTCGGTGGGCCCGGTGGGCCCGGTGGGCTCGTGATTCCTTGGATCGGCTAAACAGAACGCTACGTTGGTCAGTGTCTGGCAAAGGAATGACACACACACACACAAACACGCACGCACATGCTCGAAACTGTGGACCGCGTCAGTCAAGCGGGGACGTGCCGTTTTTCAGTGGGATGAATAATGAACCAGTCAGAGGCAGAGTCTTGCATGAATGGGCTTCTGCAAAGCAACAGCAAACGCAACAAGAACCATCCTCCCAAAACAACAACCGTGGCGTCAAATACAGTAGGTGAGCCGCAAGCCGTTTAGTAGGGGGTTCAGCAATAGTCAGTGAGTCAGGGTGAACCGCATCACTGCTGGCAGCTTGGTTCGGGCCACCCCCCTCCCATTTACCCCGCTAGACTGTATTCATTAAAAAAAATGTTCTACTTAGAGTCAGCACTGGTCAGTCAGTGAGTCAGGGCCATTTCCCCCCCCATTACCCCCTAGATTCATAGGAGAACCTACTTCGATGAGCATTAGTCAGTCAGGGTCAACCGCTGGGCTTTGCAAGTCGCTTAGTAGGGGCAATGACTGTTGGAGGGACATGGAGGGACCCCCCTATTTAATTCCCGGGTTTTGGGCCACTCCATTCCCCCATGTGAGCCACAATCAAAACCCGGGTAGATGAAGGTTAGCAAGGGGCATTTCCCCCCATTTCCCCCATTTCCCCAATTTTCCACATTTCCCCAATTTTCCACATTTCCCCAATTTCCCACATTTTCCCCATTTCCCCCATTTCCCCCATTTCCCCCATTTCCCCCATGTCCCCTTTCGCCCCGAGGCGATGCGTGCGGGGAGGCGAAGCAGCGCACGGGTTTGCACCTGGCGTCGGCCAACGGTCACGTGCCAGTCTGCTCCGTGCTGTTGCTGCAGAAGGCCAACGTGAACCTCCAGGAGACCCCGCGGGGGGGGGGGGGGAGGCGGAAACCGGCAGCGGATTTGAGGGGGGAGGGACAGTGGTGTGGAACATGGTTTTTGCAGGGGGACGCATATTCTTGTGGACCATTGTTTGTGAGACATGGCCAGGGGGAGACATTCTTGTGGAACATTTATATTTTGGTGAGGCATGGCCCATATCTAGATGGGACCCAGGGCAAGGGACCCATTCCCACCCTCCAGAGTCTAACTCATAAGCTGGGGATGGGTGATGGAAGAGCACTCCATTCTTGGCTCAAGCCTCTGCAAAGGTCTCAGACCCCCAGGCTGTTTCTGAAATGTCCATGTCCACTTTCCACCAAACGAGTTTCCCTTGGAGCTGACGTGGTGGCTTGCTCCAAGAGAGGCAAACACCCCTCCTCTGGCTTTGGTTGGGAAAGGGTAGTTGCTGAATGGATGGACGGGTTTGTTGCTTCCTGCATAAGGGTCATTGACTGTCCTGACGCAGGAATAAGAAGCAGCTCTGATTGGCAAATCGTGTTCCGCAAGCAATTTGACTGTGATCCCTTGTCTGGACATTTGTGTCCAGTGAAAAGAGGACACGCTCGTTCTCACTTTCCCCAATTTCTGGACTTTCCAATTTCAGTAGGCAAACCGCCCATGGTTTCTATCACCAACCGGCTCGAGAAGTGAGAATGTTTCCTTTGGGCGGTTCTTAATCATGGGACCCCCGGATGAATAAACCCTGGTTGATTTTGATCGGGGTCCCCTTTTAGCGGGGCTTCCGACCACTTTTTTTACAGGAGGGGTTCTTACTTAGATTCCGGGTCAACATAGACCTCCCGGCTTGAGTTTCCGTGTGGGATGCTATTTTTTTTCTGCGAGGGACCAGCAAATGGGTTCCCCAGTAGTGCCCTTTTACCCTTTTTGGGGGAGGGTTCCCCTACTAGAATAGACTACCGCAAAAAGATGGTAGCCTTACCTCTCTTCTGGAGGACCTAGGGTAAGGACCCAGGTCGATTGGCCGGCCTTTTTCCGGAGGACGGCGATGGGGAGAGCCCCTTGCACAAGGCCGCTCGCTTCGGCGAAGCTTGGCGGATTTTTTTTTTTGGGGGATATCAAGGTTCCCTTTTTTGGGACTACCCCAAGGTAGGCGAAATTTAGGGGTTTCCCTTTTTTGGGGAAATCCCGGGTTTCAGTCCACTTTGGGGTTGTCAGAAAATGGATCCCTGTGGGGGATAGATCGTGGCCTTGGACATTGACTCAAGAAAAGGAGCGAGTCCCCTCAAGACATGGGCAAGTTTTTCTGTGGCTTTTGCTCTTCGCAAGAGCAAGGAAGAGACTGCCAGTGCTAAATACCATTCCCGGGCCCCGGAAAGAGGTTGCATCTGTGAGAGGCTCTCGGCATGAATTACTCTTGGTGCGGGAAACCCCCCTTTCAGGCGCCCCTGGAATTTTGCCGAGAGCCGCCACGGATTTCGTTTGAAAGATGTTTCCCCCAAAGGAGATGCGGAGATTGCCCTGTGGGACACGCCAAAAGCAAAAACCAGCGTAATCGTTGGATACCACAACATGTGAGTTTCCCCCCTCGAAGGAAGCCGCAAGCTAAAGCAACATCTTGTCTCCATTTTCCAAGAGCTCCCTCAATTTCCACTCTGCCTCCAACAGTGTTGCGGTTTTTGTGGCACTCACCGGCAAAAAGACTGATCAATCCGACAGGAGAAACCCAGCGACCCATCTTTGGCTTCTTGTCAGGGGATTTCATCGCTTCTCCCTTTGGTTTCCCAACGCACCCTAAGAATTTCGTGGTCTTCTCCATGGCTTTCCTAACCCCAACTCACTCCCTGAGTTCCTGGACTTCAAACTTTTTGAGTTGGGCTCTAAACACTTTTTCGGGATCCACCGCTTAAACAACCATTTTTTTCGGGATCCGCCCGCGGAAGTGAGCCTCAAGAAGCTGGGGCCACCCAGCGAGCCTAGGTCCCCCAGTATTGCACTTTGACCGGTTTTGTTTTTTTTTGGGGGGGGAGGGTTGTTCCCCCACAAAAATAGACGACAGAAAAAAAAAAACAAGTTGGTAGCTAGAGGGTGGTTCCCCAAAGGGTTGTTCCCCTCTTCTCTCAGATCACCCAGCGAGCCGAAGCGAGAACTCGGATCCTGAGGACTTGGAGCTCTGCGAGCTGATTCTGAGCTGGGGCGCCTCGGTGACCCTCGCGGACAACGACGGCTGGCGGCCCCTCCATGAGGCGGGGAGCTCGCGGAGGGCCCGGAGGGCCAAAGGTGTGTGGGAAACAAACAAAATGGAAGATGGCTATTTCAGGGATACGTTTTGAGTAGTTCCGTGTTAGAGTACGGGGCTTCAACTGGCATTCCCTTCAACCTGGAGAAAAAAGGTTAGGGTTTGGTGGGTTGGATCCAGTGAGGTTGAAGCCAGCCTGTTCATAGGTCATTGCTGATTGGGGTTTTCGCAGTTGTAAATAGTTGTGTTTTCAGGTTGCTGCTCGCACCCTCTGCACCAACAAACACGGAAGTGCACAGCACTTTGACCCAAACAATCTTCCAACTTACTTCCAGTTTGTCCATTTAGCGGCGTCTGTCTGTTTGGTTTTAAAGGGAAACTCTCCAACAGTTTGAGCAACTGGAATATTGTGCATCTCTTGAAAGCAGACAAGGGGTAGCGCAGCACAGGAGCCCAGGCTGGAGCAGCAGGTCAGCATCAACTTCCTGAGTTCCTGGACTTTCTAAGCTTTTCGGAAAGACCATTTGAGTGGCAAACCAAAAAAGCCGTTTTTTTTCTTCTTTTTCCGGAAAGACCGTGTGAGTGGTAGATGACAAGTCGGACCTCTACTCGGCCAACTTGGCCACTTGCGAGGCTCGTGGGTTCCCTCGGTTGAGCCCCCGGCCCCCGGCCCCCGGCCGCAGGCGGCGCGCTGGGGGGACGGGCAGCTGGTGGAGGCGCTGCTGCGGCGGGGCGCGGACCTGCGGGCGGTGTCCAACGACGGCGAGCGCCTTCGGCGCCGATTTGGGTGCATAGGCGTCCTTTTTGGTTGATTTGGTTGAAAGATAGAGCCCTGGCTTGCCTGGTTCAATCAACTGCCAAGGCCATCTGTTTTCCTAAAAAGGACACCTATGTTTGGGCGGGTTTCAAGGGGGCGGTTTCAGGGCGGAATTTTGCAGAACAAGCGAATCCCATATGACTATTTTTCAGGGGCTCAAACTCAGAGGGATGACTAGTTGTGCAAGTTGCAAGGTTTGATTTTGCTTGTCTTGTTTTGCATGACCTGATTAAGTTTCTGGATTCATAAGCTGGAGAGGCCTCTTCAGACCTTTTTGTTGGCATTCTGCTGGCCTAGCGTAAACCCCCGCCATTGCATTTTGAGATGGAGTTGTGGAGTTTGCCTGATGGCCAGGGTTCAACGCGTCGCCATGCGTCGCCCTTCGAAATGGCCCGGGCATTGTTTAGCTCATCCAGAGAGCTGAGGAAAGGGGTCTTGCATCTATACCCCCCCCGAGTTGTAGGCTTTTTGGCGCGGGAGTTTTTGGGTGCTCCTCATCTATACAAAAACCACACACGGTTAGATTTGCATTTATTAAGGGGGCGATGTTGTTGGCACGTAGGGAGGGCCAGGTGGGTATTTCCCCTTGGCTGCGGCAGGGTTCCTTAAAGGACACATCCCAAAAATTGGCGGCTCTTGATGGGACCTCCCAAATCGGCTTGCATTTGGGAGGTGCATTCCTTTCGGGGAGCCTAGGAGCGCGCTGCACGTGGTTCCTGGGGGCTATGCGGAGTTGGAGGTGGTTCAGGCGCGGGTTTGTCACGTTCCCGACCTCGTCCGTGGTTTGTGGTGTGCAGGACGTTTTCGCTGAACATCGGCCACCAACTTCACTCAGTACCACAAGCCCTACCCTCTCAGGCCTCCAAGACCCGATTTTTTGTCGTGTTCCTGTCTCGCAAAAGTGAAGGATTCCCACTGAAAGGGAAACAGCCCCCTTGTTCATCCACCTGGAGTTTTAGAGTTTGTGGCAAACATTAAAGGGTCCCTTTCGACTTTTCCCTCGGATTAAGAGAGAAGGTCTGGCAGAGGGGCAGGTTTTTTGGCCAGCGGGTGTGGCTGACAAGTTTACGCAGCCCTACAGATTGGCATGGGACTTTAGAAAGCTGCAGGGTCGCCTTTGCGGGGGGGGGGGGGGTGGCAGGGGAGGGGCCTGTAGATGGAGGACCCTGTAGGGTGCGGGTCCATCTTCAGGGATGACCAGGGGCTGAAAACCCACCGGGAAAACTTGTCCTTTTCTTGTTTAAAGGGCGGGAAGTCTTGAAAGGCAGAATGTTTGGGATCCTGAATGGGTTATTTTGCTGGTTGTTTGCGTTTTTTTCTTTTTTTTGGGGGGGGGTGGGGGGGATATAGGAGGGAGATCGATTCTAGTAGACGGTTCTACTAATTACTTTGTTTAATGGGGGTTGCAGAAAGGCCCAGATCCATTGCAACTGCGTTGGTAGAACCAAAGGTCAATGTGTTTTGCATTGGCGGGTGCTGTGAGCCTGCCAGGTGCTTTTGGCCTGGCAAAGCGACGTGAACAGCCGGGACTACGACCCATGGCCCGAACGCAAGTGTCCATGGTTAGATGCATTTGGGCCAGTGGAGCAACTACCTTCACCAGCTGATTGAGAGGATGCCCTTGTGGTTTCGGGTGTATCCTTTAAACATCGCTGTAGAACCCCCCATCAATTTGTTTGGGGGTACTCTCCCTGTGATTGTTTCAATTGGGAGGCCCAAAGAAACTGCCCTTTTGCAGATTTCCGCGCAATAGTTGGGTGAAGAAGTGTATTTGCCATGGTGGAAGAACTCTGTTGCTTGGAGTTGGTATGGATGGTCATGGGCTGCATGGCGAATTGGAAAAGACAGAGCAGGACTTGAGCCAGGGCCATGGTCGCGGAGGTTTGGCCATTCGATTCACCGAGGACGGGGAGACCCCGTTGCATCTGGCGGTGAAGCTCGGGGATGTTGAGCTCGCCGGGCTCTTGCTGCAGCGTTTTGGCGTAAGGGCTTGGGTCGGAGGGTCACAGGGTCTGAGGATCGGGGGAGCAGGGCACGGAACGGGGGTTGAAAGGGGGTTCAAACGGGGACAAAGGTGGCAATCTTGGAAGCAAAGGAAAGCTGGCAAGATGGAAGAAATCAACGGGATGCGGTCGGCTGGTTGCCTTGCCTCTCCTTTCTCCGCCTCGATGCGCTCTAAATTGGTCGCCAGTGTTATATTTTTTGGGAGGGGTATGGTGGTTTGCGCTGGTTGGCTTAATGAGCACTTCGGGACGAACATGCACATTCTTCCTGGCGCCACGGGCAATCACCTTTTGTATGAGCTTTGGTGAAAATATCCCGAGGTCTTTGGTCTGTCTGACAGGGATACGCGGGGGACTCCCACATTTCGCACCAACCACATGTCCTATTGGGCAACAACAAGTTTTACCCATAGCTCTACTGCCCACAGGGCTGGATTTTGGAAGCGCCCTCCAGCGAAGGAGATCTAGTGCTTTGCCACGCATGCGGAAGCCGGATGTTGCCGCTTTTGGCTTGAGAGTCCCTGTGTTTCCAACAGCTGCAAGGAGCTCACCTGGATAGCACGAGCTTACCTACGACAATCCTTGACTAGGGTATCCTGTTCTTCTTTGCAGGTTTTAAGAAGCACACTGCTGGGATGGACCCCCCAACGTGGAGCAACAAAAACTGCATTTTTAGAGGGATCTCCTTTTGTGGACTTCTTCTCTGAGTTCTAGGTTGATTTGCAAGCAGGCATTGCCAATCAATATTTTTTAGCCACTTCCCCGCGCCCCAAGAAGACGCCCATTTTCAGGTCATTCTTGGCATCCAGCGGGTGTCGGTGACCCGTCACAGGGGCAACTGACAACATGTTCGCCGCATTAAGGGACGACCCGAATTTCCCCCGCAAAGGTGCACTTCTCCCAGGCCCACTGGAAGCGAGTGCATTTTCCGGGCTCATTGTTGGATTTCCGCGTGCTACGCATGAATGGAAGGGCCGGAGACCTCACGACCTAAGCCCGGGCTCAGAACATTCCTGACCGCTGCTGAGAGCTTCTCTTGGGAGTGGGGTCGCGGGGGGGAGCTGTGTGTTTTCATTGAACGTGGCGCCTGACAATGATGTACTTTGTTGAAAGCTGCTTGGGGGCATCCTATGGACCACCTGTATCCATGAATTTCATGTGCCAAAGCTCTCATGGTTTGTGTATTGTGTGTGGGCGCGCCTTCCCCCTAAGCAGGGCCGGTGTGCCACCTTGGCCCGGCCTGCTTTGATTCATCCAGTGCTCAATGAATCATACGGCCGGGAAAGAGCAACCTGCATGCCACATTTCCTTAGTCAACATGCTCCGGCATGATGTCAACTCCTGATAGACAAAGATGTATTCCCGAAGGCTGAATCTTCAACCTTCAACTTGGGAGCACATGGTGTGACATCCCTGCCATTTCGGGCGGGGGCCCTCATGACTCATGATCAGCCCTAAGGAGTTTTCACTCCGCATCCTTTCGGTTTGAGGCAAGGCGCCGACGCCAACGCCACCAACACGCAGGGATGCACCCCGCTGGACTTTGCAAAGAAGGACAGAGATCGCGCTGGGGCCGGGTCCAGCTGTAATTTCTTTGTCGGTGGTTCTACACATCATCACCGTTTCGGCACTTCAACTTGGTAGGGGTGATTTTTTCACCAGGTGCTTGCTCAACTTAGTCGCTTTTTGGCAAGATTTAGCGGTGTTTGACAAGACCAGGGACTTTTTGGACCAACCCACTCAAGAAGAGAAGTGAAAGCATGTCCTTTTCAGACGTCATGATTGATATCACCTGGGCCGGGAAACGGTTGGTCAGTTTGCCTTTGGTGAGGTGCTGTGTCGTTTGTTGCGGGTTCCGCATGGACTTGGACTCGTGAGGCTGGGGTTGTAGTATGATTTCTACGAAGGATTTAAGGATTTTGTTGCAAGGGGCAGAGGGTGCCCCCCGCCACAATGCCGAGAGCGAGACAACCACCCCTACGAACCATCGTCTTAAAGCTTCGATTTTTTTGGGGCTCCATAGGTTCATTCCAGCAATCCTGTTGACTCCCTACTGCCGCAGCAACAGATGTAGGACGAGGTTCGCTGGCTGCTGCGATCCCACAAGGGCCGCAAGGGCACCGGCGCTCTGTGAGGGCACGCGGCACTCGTTCGCCGCGCCGCAACGCGCTTTGAAGAGCGCAGATGGGCGGTCCTGCAGGGTTGGCCAACGAAGACTTTGATGTTAGACTTAGAACATTTTTCACATGCTCTCAGTCTTGGCACGTGCTTTGGTTGTTTGTTGTTGTTGCCTCCTAGGTAGC